GCATGCGCAAGCTGCAGTGCTCAGACCATACAGTCAGACCAGCGCACTTACTTACACAACGAGTGTACCAGTAGATCTCCATGACCGCCATGTTGTCATGTACAGAACGGACAAACGAACAAACGAACAGTACGGACAAACGAACAAACAAACAGTACGGACAAACGAACAAACAAACAGTACGGACAAACGAACAAACAAACAGTACGGACAAACTAACGAACGAACAGTACTGACAAACAAACAAACGAACAGTATGGACAAACAAACAAACGAACAGTACGGACAAACAAACAAACGAACAGTACGGACAAACAAACAAACGAACAGTACGGACAAACAAACAAACATTCCCTTCAAATTTCAAAGTGTTAGCAAATATTTTGGATGTGTGAAATCAGATTGGTTACATTTTATAATCAGACGCAATGGGTCGGGCACACATGTCGCGCCAACGATGATTGTTTCCTGGGGTTGCAACACGCATAAGCCCACAATCAGCTGCGTTGAGAGGCATCGAGACTAGAAGAAATGGAGATAATATGTCCTCCAATGAAAACATTGACTTTCAAGATGTGCCACCTTCCAGTTTACATAAACCCCTGATCTTGAAGATTCAAAGTTCCTTCCTATCTCAACTTCAGAGTTCGATTGAAGTTCGATGGACAAATAGCACCCTGGGCTTACGGGTTCTTTTAACTCCTGGTTGTTGAATCCGCTATCATGAAGATCACGGTGATCTATGCCAGGTTGTTCACAAGTGCGTTTCTGCTTGGCAACAAATAGCAACGCTTAGCAGATGTGATTGTTTACACATCCTCATTGTCATCCCTATTGTGATCAGTAGAGTTTCAATTATCTTTGGTGAAAATTCAAACCTTGTTGCCAACATGATTCATTTAGGATCCTGGCACCTCTGTTTCGATTTGCATGCAACATCATTCTATTTGTTTGCATCTCCTTCTTTTGAAAAGTGTATCTCAGAGTGTTATACGGTCTACTGTGACATCCTCCCGAAGTTCCTCCTGTCCTTTGCGTGCTTTGTGTTCTGTGAGCCGCTACTACCAGGACAGTGCTGCTTCAGAGCTGTTGTATACAAGGGACCACAGTAATCACCATCATGGTGAAGAATCTTTTATTTGTTGGCAAATAAACAAATAAACAATCTTCAGAAACTGTTGTTACGCAGATTCAAGTTTGCATGACTGATACAGCCTCTGCCTACTCTATATATCGCTTGATCCCTGGTATCACAGCCTAGATGTCAAACATGCAATACTATCTCGGAGTGTGCAAGACACTTTCCTGAAATTGCATGGTTGGAGCAATTGCGAGACAGGATTTGCAGAGAGAATAAGCATTTGCACGGGTTGTCATGAAACATGCTTCATCAACATCATCGGCAATGCCGCAGTAACACGATGATACGATTCACTGCCGTGATTATCAGCGTAGAAAGGAATCTCATATCGACACGTCTGAAGCAAGCATCTGATACAAACGATTATCTTCTTAAAACTCTGAATATCGCCAACCATATCATGTACCTGCCATTGTCCAATCAGCACATCTACAGTGTTCCCGATGCAACTCACTGGCCACATGGGTTTGTGCCACGAAGGATACCGTAGACCATGAGACAGAGAGAAACACAAGGTAGACACTATTTCGTATGATGTTTTTGCTTACCATCACAGTTTCAAAATACATGCTGAGATCGGCTGTTGCTATGCCATCTTCTGTCCATTCTGAAATTACACTTGAACATTTTGAATGAATCGTCATTGTGCAAGAATTTGAATTTTTTGCTCAGCTTTGACATCATCTTCGGCCTAAGCTAAGTGATCTAAGTGGTTTTAGTGCAATTTGAGGCAGCGTGGTAATGATAGAGATGTTGCATTGGCTTTATGTTGAGGAAGAGATGTTGAGTTCAAATCTCTTGCTACTTCTTGAATTTCACAGAAGAGACAATGAATTTCACAGAAGAGACCAAGTCATCACAAATAGACAAGTAACCGTATCTTCGTTTCCTGCATATCAATGCATGGTTGGATTCGAAGTCTCACATTGTTCATTATCGTCCTTACGCGCGTCAATGGGACAATCTCACCATCTCTTGTTCGTCGAGGGAGGGGGGGGCTGGAGTGGAGACAAATGGGGGGACCCCCTACCCATCATTTTCCCATTTGAAATTCAGAGACTGGGGGGTAGAGGGTGAACCTTGGTCAAATTCGAACCGTAAAACTCGCAACGCTCGAGAGTGTGACCCACCCTACGCGACAAGGAGGTTTGGAGTGGAAATAATGGGGTCAAAGGCGTGGCGATTCAAACCCACATCGCGGCCACCCCCCTCGAGTATAAGACTCTAGCTCAGGTGGGTGCTGTTTGACCACGCGTTCGAATCCTAACGGCAATCGAAGAGATTGCTTTTCAGCGTCAATTCCACTACCAGAATGCCCAAGACTTTTATGATTCTCGCCCACTCCTGAATTCAGACTACCTACCCTGACTTCATCTCTTCTGAAACATACGGGTGGTGTAGAGGTGATAGTCGAGGGAGCTCTGCCAGCCCACGGGAATTGCTGACATTGACAGTACAAACTTAGTACGGAGGGGAAAAGGGGATCCTGATACAAAAATCCTTGAACCCGGTAAAACTCAATTATACCTCGGTACAAACAGGCTAGCCTGGTACAAACAAATCCAGTCGAGAACCCAATGGAATGGTTATTGCCCACTCAGCATGACTGTGAACTTGACGTTGTATCGTCGTATCTTGACTTGGATCTGCTGACATTCTTGTTTGCGTGACTTTCTGACGTCCGATGTAACGTACTATTTCAGAAACTCGGGGGGAGGATGGAACGTATGCCAGCCGTGCCAGTCAGATAGCGCCGAGTTAACAAAAACTCTCCTGTAAACCAAGACGACTTACGTGGCAGGGCGGCGGCATGTAGTACAGGATGAAGAGGGGACTTTCCTAGCCGTCTTGCTAAGGTCCTCTCATGTCTGGATGCTTGGGTTTCACATCCTAGCATACAGTCTATCTCTCATGTGCTCCTCAATTCTGGTTTTGTGTGCATTAAACTCGGTCTTGAGCAAAAACTGTCTTGTCACAACTAAGGTCGATGTGATATCTGCGTGACTTTGGACTAGTACAAGTCTAACAAACTTGTATTCCGTCAATCACTCTGTATTCATTCAAGTTTACTCTGGCAGGCCGGCGGCCGCCCCCGCCCGGCCGCCCGGGCCCCGCCGGGCCCCGGGCCGGGCTCGCTGGGGCAGGCTGGTACGCAGATAAATTTTTTGAGATGGCGGGATATCGGGAGGGGGGAGCTAGAGTAGGAGATGAGGGAGGAGGAGAGCCGATGTAAGAGGTGCTCTTGATAGTTGATTCGATAGATCTCGCAATGTCATCAGGCTCCAAGAGACCAAGAGATAAGCAAGGCAAGTCACCTCATCCTATATTCGCCTGCCATCACCTGACGAGTGGTAAGGTGGGAATGCACGAAGGCAAAAACCAAAGTCATCTGCAGAATCTATTTCTTCTAAGAGCGATGGTGCTCTTTGTCTTTACTTTGGTGATATATGTAATGGGTGAAATGTAGATACGGACAGAGTTGCTGCGTTGAACCGAAGAGGTTCCTAACTTGTTTCCTGACGTCTTCGCTCACGCCAACCAGGAAACATCCGTCTGGTGAAAGTTGGGTCAAGGATATGTTTCCAGTGGGCAAGGAAAGAATGGTATAGAATCTACTGCATGCCCGGTCTTAGCTGATTCGGTACTGTTTGGATTTGTAAGGTACTTTGGGACATTGATCTCATCAACAAATACACGGAAGTCAGCATCGTTTCTCTGCGATTTCGTAATACTTACTCGAGACACTATTCATTATTAGTTGGTGGAATGTCGAATGGGATGATGATACAAAGAATCAAATTCTACTGGCAGAAAATAACAATTTGTCAGTTGGAACATGTTTTGAAATGCTCAAAATGATGTTGCTTGCAGAAAATGGTTCACTTTGGAAGACGAAAGAGACGAACGGAGGTGTGTGATCTCTTCTGGTTTCCAAGTAGCAAATCAATTATTTTTTGCTAGAATCCAGAATTTGCAGGAATTACAGGATGAGGAACTGGATGACATTGAAATCGTTAGAAAAGACTCGTTGAAGCTGTTTAATCACTGATTTTTTCTGTCAAAATACAGCATTCTGAAGACATGGAGGAATCTGCTGAAGGTTTCTACGATGTACACTTCTTTATTTCAGCCTCACGAGGTGCATTTAGGAAGCACTGATTCCAAAATTGAAGAAGTCAGTAAGCCAGAGAGGTCTCAACGTGCTCTTCTACATACTGTCTCATATCTCACAATCTGGTTTAGAAATGTTACAAATATTGAAAATCAGCTGAAGAGCTCTGGTGACCTTCCGAGGTTGCGATACCCATTATTGATCGTTGTGAACTGCAAAGAGATCTCCAATCGTAATGCAAAGAGTTCACTCTCCCACCATGAGTCGGCTAACTCCAATCCGCAATCGACAGGTGAGATCATGATTTGATAGCAAGAGCAATTCACCGAAGTGATAGGGACTCAAGATGTTAAATCAGAAAAATTGGACGATCAAGTGCCTGAATTTATACACTCTATCATCTAAATCCATTTCCATAGGTGCAAGAAATTCGACAGGAAATCAGCGTTCTACGAGATCAGGTACAGATTGCGGTATCGCATTTCAAATATTGATGCTTGAGAATATGAAGATTTTAGAAATCCATCGTGCACTCAAGGAAATGGAGAGATCACTAACTTCTCAGCTCAAGGAGTGCAAGGTATTGTTTTGATCCGACAGCTCGACTCGCTTACGAAGAACACAGGATATTGTCATTCGAAAGTCGAAGGGTGACTAGCTCCCCACGAAATGATTTGTAGGTGCACTCATTTTGGGTACAAATCAGTGGTTGGATTTGATAAACTATTTATTTCAAGGATAACGCCTTCACCCTCTTGGTTGTCGAATGGATTGGTATCTGCAAAAGCAGTCACTTTCAACAAGAAAGTAAACGGTCTGTCACCTCCTTTCATACTCAGCTTGGAGCTGCATTGCGTTGTTTTCTTCATCGATCATCCTTTCTGTTTCTGCTGCGGAATCTGCTTTTGTCTCAGAAAGAATAATATGACCACGATTCTCGAATCTTGGAACCTCGATTCACGTTCGATTCTGAACCTACTATATCACGCATTTCCTCTTCTTCCTCCTTCATGTCGATTTCGGCTTTGATTTTCTCTGTGTTGTGGATCACATGAAACAGCGTTAGGAAACCCATCTGTACCGAGATCGACTGGAGCTCCAGCAAGGAAACTTTCAGAGGGAATTCCCATCCATTCGCAGAGGACTTCGATAGTATCGACATGATGCAAATAGACAGCCTTTTGAAGAGCGGTCTACAAACAGCAGTGCGTCGATTCTCTTAATCGATATCAAGGATGATTACCTTGTTGTAATGATTTTGAGCCCAGGGATTGGCGCCGCATTCAAGAAGTGCTAGACATGTATCGGCATGCCCCTTAAATGCCGCCTGTGATGAAAGTGAGAGAGTCACATTTATGAATCAAATCTGTCGCCACAAGTAAAGAATCCCTGCTCACATAGTGTAGAGGCGTCCACCCAATCTCATCGCTCTGACTAGGATTTGCACCAAAGTCCGTCAACCTCTCTACGACTTCAGAATTTCCATCTGTTCGAATTGTCAGCATTGGATCCACCATTTCCTGACATACAAAAGCTTGCATAATGCATTGCAGTCCAATCATAGTGGTTTGGATCTGTGGAATTAACCTGCAAATTCATGAGCATCTGGAAGATAGGAAGGTATTTCTCTTGAAGTGACCATTGTCAAAATACTACAAACTCACCTGTGCCCCTTTATTCACTGCAGTTTCAACTCCTTCAAAGTCACCGAACTTGGAAACCTCCTGCCATAGTATCAGAACAAGCAAGAAAATCCAATAGAAAACCCAAAGCTTTGCATTCGCTTGAAAGTTTTTGTTACACCATTGACAGAAGTCTTCAAAGTTGACATCTTGTATTTTCTGCAGGTGAAGAAGGTAAAACGAATTGACATCTAGCTTGCTCAAGAGAAGGCTTACGTTCTTCGGTTTCCGAGGCAAATCAGATTCAGATATACCATTTGCAAGGTCATATTTTGCGGATTGGACTGGATCCTCAGAATCATACCAGAGTGAATGGTTTTGGACACTCTGGTTAAACCTTGGCTCGGCAGCAAGAGATTTCAATGCACTAATTTCATATGGAGAAAACGCGTCTTCGTGGACAAGCTTTTTCCCGTGTGAGATCTGTCCATCTGCTCCGCCCCCTCGCAATCTATATAGCATTATGGTAGATCGTGTGATATCTCTACCACTATTAGAGTACGCCTTACCATTCCGTGAGGAAAAGGAAATCGCTACATGCAAAATGAGGAGATTGAACTTGCAAGCTACCATGCCCTCTCCCTTTTCTGATACTCATCTCATCTTTTGCTTGGTTTCCTTTCTTCCAAAACGAGACGAAGATTGTACTGACGTTTCACTTTGTCTTCATAATCTCAACCCGCCCTGCCCTGACACCCACGGACCACATTGCGTCCGTCGGGCACCCAAGCATATTCCACAAGCTGAAATCAGAACTGAAAATTTGAAAGTTGACATTCCATTTTGCAGCATTTTGAATCATTTAATAAGCACGTGATACTCACGTGATCAGTCATGGATTTGTCAAGTTGTGTCATGTGACACCACGTGACACCTGAACCTTCTAGATGCGACGGGCTACAGACATAAGGGGTTGGGGGGGTACTCATTATTCCATTCTATAGGTGGGGTGATAATCATCATAGGGTAGAGGTCACATTAGGGACCCTCGCTCCAAATACTTTTTCAGGTCCAGTACCGGGTCCTAATTTTCATGTGAGGGGTAGTAGCGACGTGTTGTGTAAAGGGTAGGGGTGGGTGAATATGCTGCTGAGGGTATTTTCTTAGACGTAGACGGGTTGTGGGGGGTAGTCAATGTAGTAGAAGGGTGGTCTCTGAAGGAGGGGGTGAAAGTATGATAGAGAGAGGGTGGGGGTATTCAGGATTCAGAATGGTTGTTGTGAACGCGATGAGGAATGCAATGTCTTGGGGAAAGGAAGAAAATAGCAAGATACCTTGCGCTTGTGTGGGGAGAGAGGAGGGAGTAAAGGAGAAGAGAAGATTGTAGACAAATGCTGAGTGAACAATGGACCAAACTTGCTTGAACCATGAATGGCCTGAGTGCATTTGTTGTAATGCTGTTGAGCTCTGTATTTCTTATTTGGAATTTCCCAGGTGAAAGTGCATGTGAATTCCTCTGACAAAGACATCGAACCGTTTCCATAACATGCGTCAACCGAGCTTGAAAGCTTTTTCGTCAGCCCTCGTCGTCCTGATCATAGCTGAATGTGTGCTCGGGCTGCCCTCCACTTCGGCTGCTCCTGCAAAGTCTGAAAGTCTCCGGGACAAAACATGTCTAGCTACTCCCAAGCAGTCACCGATTCGAAATCTTAGGTTGTATATCCCTTTGGGAGTAGGTGCAGTTGCTTCTATGGCCGTAGGGATTATTTCGACCACAACTCCCTTTATTCCATGTTTGCTGTTGGCCGAATTTCTTGTAGCTGCAGCGCTCTTCGACTGGAAAGCCTCGCAGTATCAGTCTTTAATTGCTGATAATACCATCGACATTGACCAGTATACATGCTCGCGGCCATCGATGTATGATAGGGCTAAGGTCATTCGCTTGCTTTTCATCAAAAGACGGTAACAGAACTCTGACAGGTGGTGACGCTCCATGGCTTCTCAGTCGGCAATCACAAGAGATCACTAGAACCTATCAAGCTTGGATATCAATCATCGCCATTCGTGAAAGGTCTTGTTGCAACAAAGAGATTGCAAGAAGGGCTTTCACCAATGTCATTGGATCTCTCGAAGAAAGTAATTAGGTATAATGCTAAAGTACTGCATTGACATGGTTTGTAGCCACTGGTGGTTGGTACAATAAGGATGGGATTTGGCCATCATCGTATTGCTTATTCTGCAGCTTCGTAAGCTCTGTCCTGAAGGAATTTCGTCCCTTGACCTTTCCCCTCTCTTCATTCTAGATGGGGCCTTGCGTCTGGATCGTTCACATTTTTCCACGACCTCCTTGGTGATCGAGAGGCACCATATCTCAATGAATTTTGAGTTTTGATTTAAAGCGGTCGAATCCAAGGAGGCTACTTTAATCAAAGAAGCAGATAAGGTATTCGAAAGTATCATTCTCCCTCTGGAGCTGTGAATTCAGTGGGTTTCAGGTCTACTCGAAGGGGTCACGACTTGCTTCAGAGCTAGGTTGCCATCTCGGCATTGTATGTGACATGATAACAATGGATGCAGGAGGTGTTATCGAAGCACTGTGGGGATCTATTACCAAAAGTGGAGATGCGTCATCATTGCGTTGTACATACCAGGTACGGATTTCTTTATTATTCTCTCTTTGACCATATTCAACAGCTAGCTGAGAATTTGAGGCCTCTTCTGCTCGATATTCCAAAGGTGCCATGAGTTTTCTGGTATTTGTGATCATTCATTCATCATTTAGGATATTCCAATCATAGCAACGCACTCCCTTGTTGGATTAGTTGCGGTGGCTTGTGGTTTTAAGAACGTGATCAATCTCGTGATCGATAATTACGCGCAGTGGTTCGTGATTGTGCCTGGTATCTCATCATTGAATTCCTTTATTGTTTAATTGTCTGATCTATGCCTCATCAGGTGCTATCAATTTGGTGCAAGGTCCGACGAATTACGCCATGTTCCATAAGATGGGTGTTCCAACTTCTGAATTGAGATTGGCCGGGCACTGGGTGCCGTATGACATCGTTACAAATGTCTCACTCCCCGTTTTGCCTTGGCATTGTGGCTGAATCAGCTTTCCTTACAGATCGATTCTGATTGCGAAAGGCGTCGGCAGAGGCTGAAGGATGTAATGGTTTACTGATACCTGAAGCACCGCTTGACTTTTTTCCAGGAAAAGCCACTGCGTATCCTTTTGCCCGTTGGTGGTGCAGGAGCCCAAAGAAAGGTGTCTTAATTCTCCTTTATCGGAATTCTCCATCCTTATTTTGAATTAGTTCGTCACCTCGTTACTAGAGGCCTTGGCCGATGAAATCAAAGCTGGAAGTGTTCAAGTATGTCGAATCAGTAATTCATAGAAATTTGATGAGTTTTGTAGGTGGTGTTGAACGCTGGAGATCATGCTCACATGAGAGATGCGTTTGAAACGTCTTTCAAGAAGATGGGATTAAGTTCTGGTACAGTCTTTTGCGGTGAATCAAACGCTCAATTATTGCTTTGCAGAAGATGTCACCGTCTTTGGAGATATTGATGGAGTACATAATTTCTGCGATGAGTAATGAGCATTTGAGATCCGCACAATACGTTGAGCAAGGTGTAGGATGAGAGCGGGCAAGGAACCAAGGACGGGTGTCACGATGTTCAGCTTTAAAGACTACTTCCCGGCAGTTGCTGCCACTGATCTCCTTTCGAGGGTGCTGTATTGAAGACATATATCAAGTGCTTACAGTCTTCTAGGTTGTGGATGTTTTAGCATGCAAACCATCAGAGCTTGCATTCTATCCTGTATCCAACCTGATCTGCTCGCCCTTTGAACTTACGTGTGTGCTTAGGTCCCAAAACTCATGATTCGCCGGGTTGGTGACCATGAAGCGTGAGTCATCATGATACGCTCAATTTTGTTGTGTGGGTTATTTTGTTCCTTTTTTTTATAGGTACTCCGCTCTTCGTGCCTCGGAGCTTGGCGATGGAACTCTTGAAGTCAGAGAAGTGAAGGATGCTGTGGAGTGGATTCAGTTGATGAAAGACAACGCTGGTAATACCATGAGTTCCACTTGTTTTCTCCTTTCTCAAGTTCTGCAGGAATACTTGACATGATGAACGACAAGATCATTGCAAATGGAAAGCAGGGGGTGATGCGTACCTCCATCCAAGGGTTTAAGGTTGACCTTTGTCACCAGGTTTATGACGGGTGCAAGGAAGCCGTAAGACTTGCTCACGAACTTGCTGGCTACAAGGGATCGAGCGAGTAATTGTCGAGAGTCAGTTCTTTGTCAGATAGAGGACACAATTTTATTCTGCATGAAACAAGTTTTTCTGACAATCCGGGCCTGTTGATTTGCTTCATTGGCGGGCAACAAGCCGCCGCGCCGAGCCGGGTCACCGTTCACCATCACTCCTAGTGGTGATACACTGTGATGCAGTGGCTCTCCTCCTGGCGCTCGGGCCGCCGTCGGATCAGTCCGGCCCCGGCGGGCCGCTGAGACCTGGCAGGCTGCTGACCTGGCTGAGCCTGGTGGCATTCCGTATGGATCGGACAGCACAGCAGCACCAGCAGCAGCACAGTCTGCAGCACCGTGGCACCACAGTCAGGAGCCTCGGGTTCACCCAACATCCGCGGCCTCGTAATGCGTCCGTTTGTGGCAATGTGGCTAGTACTGTTGGCCATGTCTTTGCCCCTGGCGCAAGCGTTCAGTTGCTGTCGCATGCCGAGGGGTCATGGAGACATGAGCTACCTGTCTAGCCTAAATGCAGAAAACCACATTGATAAGCTGATCAGTCGACGGTTTGACCCTATGCTGCTCCGACCGAGCGGTTTTTGCAAGACCTGGTTGAAATCCACAACGCAAAGAAGAATCTTGTGCAGTTTAGAGACTGGTAGAGAAGTCACAATCTTGAATTATAAGCTCACCATGACATGAATCTGTATAGAAGGCAATTCTCAAGCACAAGAACTCTGGGGAAATCAATGGTATCCCCTTGGATTTGAAAAATTTGTCAACAAGGAGAAGCCTTGTCAAGTATCGGTGAGAGAACAAGAGTTAAGGTTTTGACTTATGGAACAAGAATAGATTCTAGGTACTTCAGTCGTCCTCTGGTACGAGAACACTTCCTCGTCCTGGCGTGCAGCTCTGGATCGCTGCCCTCATCGACTGGTCAGACTGAGTGAAGGACGAATCGATCCTGTTTCAGGTAACATCAAGAGTACGTGGGATAGCTCACACATAACAGGAAACATTGAGTGTCCCTACCATGGATGGAAATTTCGCGGTGTTGACGGTATGAGAAGTCGAATTTGTGATTTGAGGTTGAGCGCATGACGCGGTCAAAGGGTCCTGTACTTGCATTCCGCAATCCAAAGATGAAGCGAAACTAGAGCGAGCGCCCTCAAGGCTTATCACTCTTCCTGTTCAGTGCAGAGATGGGATGATATGGTGTTGGACGGCAAGACTGATGGGTAGCGAGGCCGAACCGGACCCTTCCAAACTGAGCGCCATGCTGCTCGATCGCATAGGAGCCCCTGGAGTGAGAACTCGTTTCCTGTGTCTGCATGGCTATCAAGATCATCTGATGATGACCTCATAGATCATGCATGTCGATTACTTCCGAGATCTTCCCATGGATGCAACCATTCTCATGGAAAACGTGCTGGATCCGTCTCATCTCCCCTTCACCCATCACAGGACGATCTCGCGAAGGGAAAGAGCATCTCCACTGACTCTGGCCATGAAGCAAACTGTGAGCCCTTCTGGTTTCTCGGCGACAAAGACGGCAGGGGATACACTCAATACGTCGAAGACCGGAGGGAGCGTGGAATTCATTGCTCCCAACACAGTGATATCTGCCACCAACCGAAAGCAGTCGTTCTCAGACTGGAACGTGGTTTATGCTGTTCCCCAATCTCCTGGATTGTCGAGAATCTATGTCAGAATCGTTTTTGAAACTGCAAAGATGCCTTTGCCCCTCAGCCTTATATTCAAGTTTGCCTTTTCTCTCCCGTCCTTCCTTCTCCACTTGAACAACCACAAGATCCTTGAAGATGATAACGTGTTCCTGCACTTTCAAGGGAAGTTGTTGCAAGGAGAGGCCCGCTTTCGGAGGGGAAATCTTCTTTCTCCAGACTGGAAGACAAGATTCTTCCTTCCGACGAAGAGTGACACTTTAGTCAGTATGAAGCAATCACGTGTGATGCCTTAAATGATGTTCCATTAAGGTGCCTTTCGTCAATGGCTCGACAAGTACACAGGGGGGGAAGGAGCCAGTTGGTCACCGTATGCGACGGAGTCGAATTCCAATCAGTTGGCTTGGAGGCATGAGGAGCTCGTAGAGGTGAAATATGTTGTGCTGCCACGTTGAGTTGCTCTGACAGAGTCACAGAGGTTTCAGCGACACACGAAGAAATGTCAAAAGTGCTTACAAGCATTCAAACTATTCTGTAAGATATTCGGTTTATGTGCTGAAGCATCAAATTTGATTTTTCTCATCCCAGCCTCCCTCAAAACGATATGCAAATGGACTACAATGATATGTCTGGCCTCTGCAATTGTCTTAGGTCCTATCATCGCATCGCTTAATGTATATGTGTGCTCACTCGTTGAGCAGAGAAATTTGCGCTCAAGGCTGCTCTTTGCACACTAGCGATGGTGGCTTTTATGATGAACTCCTTGTTTATGAAACTCACCAGGGTAAGGATTCTTCGCTGCAGATCGGAATGACTGTAACTCACTCGTGATGTTCCTGGTCAGTCCATGGAAGTCGGAGCTTATCCACCACCGAGAAATGCTTTCTTAGATTGATTGAAACCCTTTACACTGATGAAGTTGACTCTCAACTCACACTGCTACGTGACTGTATGCTGTTTGTATGATTTTCATTCCGAGTCGATGACCAACAATGATCCTGAACTCTCGACCGTACCTCTATCGCCGCGGCCAAGAGCCTTTTTAGAGTCACGGTGCACGCAGTGCCAGTGCACTGAGCCTAGTACTACTTGAAAAGCCCGGGCCCGGGGTGCGGCCCGGGATTCCAGGCCGGGCTCGGCCTTCTGTCCCATGTTGCGCCTTCAGAAATGATAGCAGCCATAGCTACAGCGCAGACATGCTGGGCGACGATACCGCGCGTGACGAGACAAGTGGGTCCAGCATGGCTGATCAGTTCCCCGCCTCCTTGCCCATCACAAAAGAGATCTCTGCCTCCATGCTCCAGGTGGAAAGCTATCCACCCATCCCTTCCAACTTTGAATCTTGCCGAATTCAAGGAAGGGAGTCGAGAAGACAAGACGTCGTTTGCTCTTAAGCTGAGAGATGCATGCGAGTCTACTGGAATGTTTTACCTGACTGGTCATGGGATCTCTCCAGAGGAAATGCAAAAAGCCTTCGAATCTTCGAGGCATTTCTTTGAATTACCCGCAGAAACGAAGAATGCTCTGCCCTGTAAGAAGGCAGGTGGATTCACACGGGGGTACTTCTCAGTGGGTGAAGAGAGTGGATCTCCTACCCTCTTTGAAGCAAAAGAAGCATTTTCTTATGGGTATGAGTGGGATCCTGATCTTAAACCGGAAAACCCCTTGCAAGGACCCAACATTTGGCCGGATCTTCCTGGTTTTGGCTATGATTGGAGGCAGCCGTTGCAAAACATATTTACCAAGAAGGTCCAGATATCTGAACAACTCACAGATGCGATGGCTATAGCTCTGGGCCTCGAGGCGGATTCGTTTTCAGATCTCTGTAAGGGCGGAGACACGATCTCCCTCATGCGGATGTTCCATTACCTTCCTTTGTTGTCGGCTTCTGCGAGCGTAAAGGATAGCCGATTGCCTCAGGAACTGATTGGCAGCAGTCCACATACTGACTGGGGCTGGTTGACAATCATTTTACAGGTCCGTACATGAAACTGTTCATGAAACAAAAGTTTTTATCTGTCCTACAGGATCCAACAGTAACTTCACTCCAACTGTTCGATAGCAAGACGAAGAAGTGGTCTGATGTTCCGCCGATTCCTGGTCATCTCCTTGTGAATATCGGAGATTATGTTTCCTTGATGACAAAGTCGCGGTATGAACGACTTAAGCGACCCTAGTTCAGTTTGTTCAGACTGAGATTTCCCAGGTTCAAATCTCCACTTCATCGCGTGAAAATCAATGACCGCGAGAGATATTCCTTTGTATTCTTTTACTACACTGGTATGATTTGATGTGTCATTTGTCAAATTTGATATTCTTGCTTTCGACTAGCATTCAATGCCACTGTTCCATCGTTAGATGAGAAGGACGTCGAGAAGTATTCTTTGCTGAAAAATCAGAACGTTGAAGAACGTGCAACAGGCGATGATGAATCAGGTATCGATCGATTACAGTTCGTCAGTCGTTTGTGACCATGTGATTTACAGCCAATACCAAATCGTTTGGTGAATTTATTCTTAAGAAATGGATGCAGGTTCAAAGGTAGGACAATTCTTTTCAAACATTCAGTCCATACACTCCTATTCATCTCTATCATATTGATACACGTTCTATCAAAATCTTATCTGTTGATTTACAACAAAAGCACACCTTAACCCTAAACAAAGCTGTATGCTCACACACATACTCCCATCATCATCATGATGATGCACAGAAAGAAAGGAATAGACAATCTCTGTTCAGACAAGGAAAACACCCATACACGTCCCTCAAGGATATTGCATACTACTTTCTAAAAACATTCGGAAATTTCTTCCTCATAAAGTTCTCGAAATCGTCTGCATGCTTGCAAGCAAACCTATACCTCCTCCCAGTATCGGCCTCCTCAAATTCGAACCAGTCTCCATTTTTCGCATTATAGTTCCATATCCCATGACCATATCTGACACCCCATCCTCCAAACTGCATGAGATTTTCTTTCCAATTCGAGAACCCCCTTTCCATCGAACCCTCCTTGATGTTTGCGATTAGGAGTGACTTGCGCATCATACCCATTGACAGGCAGTAGCCGAACGACAGAGAATATCTCATGGCATCATTTTTGTTTTCTTCTCCTCCCTTTGGTGCAACAGTGATCTCGAACCTCCAAGTAGGCGGCAGCCACCATGTGAGCGGCAAGAACATGGGCCGCCAACCCTCTTCGTAACTTTCAGCCATGTTTGCCCTGAAAAATTCCCCCACTTGCGCCCCCACGTCTGGAAGACAGCACCTCTTCTGCTATCACACTATTTCCTGCCCAAATCTATTATGACCGCGGCCCGGCAGGCTCGGACTCCGGGCCCCCCAGGCCCAGTGCACCGCCGCCCGGCCCTCAGGCCTCCCGGCGGCCTCCGAGCCTGTCCGGCGGCCCGGTCCGCTGATCATCATGGCACACTGCCGCATCGAGTCCCGGATCACTGAGCGGCTTTGAAACTTTCTAATGAACAGTTGTCCAACCCACCGTGACGGTGCCACGGTGACTCCGAGGCTCTCCGAGTCCGGCAGGCCCGGCCACACGGCCCAGGCTCCCGAGTCCCCAGCCCGGACCCGGTACGGTACTCTGGCGCGGCTAGCTCAGCTCGTGACCGTACTCGGGAGCTGCGTGGTGCGGCCGCTGAAGGCACTGGCACAGGTCGCTACCGCCAGTATGGCCGCTGATCAGCGTCCCGGACTGCCCGGCTACGGTAGTAGGCGCGCGGCTAGTCAAGACGCCGTTTGGCCACTGTTGCCAGTGCCACACGCCGGGTGTGCATGACTCACACACTACGCCGGTGGCAGCCGCGGACCCGAGTCCGTTTACTCAAAGTTAAGTTAAAAATCAGTACGAGAGTACGGTCAGTCACGGTGTCTCTCGCGGTTCAGGGGGTCACTGAAATTGTCACCTAGCATATTATTTTTCTTTGAAATACTGATGGAAGTTTTCAAAACTACAGAACATGGAATTCAGACTCGAAATATTATTTCATGTTCTCAAGTGTTATTACAAAATTTGAAACAACAAGATTGCGTTTGGTCCATCTAGTAGGATAGATTTTGAAGGCTCGGTTTGTCGGGTCGACTGATAACAAGAAAAATGTTTTGGTATCCGATCGCTGCCGCAACTTGAAACATTGAGATTGTTGAGAACAGATAGAAAAGATCATGTGCTACTTCTTTTCATCATCCGTTGCATTGTTGGTGTGAAATTACAAGGGCAAACGGTCAGTAAGAACACCAGTAAAGTGTTTGAGAAAATTTTGAGTAATACGTTTTACGTAGGTTTCATGGTGGATTACGGTGGTGAAGCCATGGAAGCCGCTTTCCTCAAGGTCATCTATCTCATGATATTGAACACGTATGCACTATACCATACCCATGATATCATGGTCCAGGTCGCGCAGGCCGGCCAGATCGTGAACTTTTCCGATTATGCAATCGCCTTCGAGGCTGCAGTGAACAACATACAGTCCAAGAAATCCAGGTTTTCGAAGAATCGAAGCCTCTTATTATTTATTATTCCAAAATGATTTGATTTACGTCTTAGGGATTTTGCCCTGCGGCATGTTCAGATGGCCTTGCTTGTCTTTTGCGGCAAAGGCTCAACAGCCATTTTGGGAGCTTCGTCTGCATGGGATGGTCTGCAAAAGATTTTCTCTGCCAGCACAACTAAGCTCATACTATAGACTGGTGTGGCGAAAACAGAAGGCAACAAAATGCAGGTATTCTCGATGCACCTGAAACTACAAAGCCGACTAAGCATTGAAAAGCCGATCAAACTCCTTTCTTTCGAACAGTGCTTCTTAGCGCAGTCAAATTGGTGCTTGCCTCGATGCAGCACGGCTCACTTCAATTACTTGACTCATTGGATATTGCCTTTGACCTCGAGTCACCAATGTACTCCTTTCTTCGACCTTCGAACGTGGATGGACACGAACGTGCTCTTGCTTTGCGAGAGGTGCCTTTTGCTTGCTACTCGTATGAATCCTCATACAAAAATGCTTAGGAGCTGCTGCAAGTATGGTATGCTGGGAATGGCCCGTTGAAAAGGCTCTCTCTCGCGGATGGATGGGATATCAAGCCTTGGAGATCTGTCCGCTCGTGTTTGCAGGTAACGATACTCAGATATGCGAAAAAGGAATGAAGTTTCTTGCAGTCTTCGGACAAATCTATTCAAGTTGAAGGTACAGCAAGTGCACAAGCTAGTAATCTTGTTGCCGCTATACAGCAGTTCCGGGCATCATATCACTCAGTCAGGAATGAGCGCTCGAGCAATCTCCAACGAAGACAGCTATGTTACACATCTGGGTTTCTTGATCTGGTTGAATGCTTGAGGGGCGAGAGCATTTTGTTGGATAGATCAGATTTTCAGCATAGTTTCCTCGATGATCACATGTCAACTTCTATAGACGAGATCAAGCAATTTGTTACCCAAGAAAGACATCGTTTCAACGAGCTTCAGAAGAGGACAAGATCAATTGCAAGTTTGACCGAGAGCAAAGCAGCTCACCTGGAGTTGGAGTCTGTTGTGAACGAGAGAGACAATGGTCGCATTCGTCTTTGCGAGGTGATGCATATTCTAAGTTGAAGGGAGATGAGTTTGGTGATTCTTGTGCTGAAAGGTTTTGAATGAGGCCATTCAAAAGCTTCTGAGACTGATTGAGAATGAAGAAGATGAACCTGATCAAGTGGAGGCACAAACCGATGTTAGTATAGTAGCTGATGTCATCAGGCGCCGTATAGTTCGGGCAGATACACGAAGATTTCACCTTGTCAAAGTACACTCGTACACTGAAATCTGTTGAAGCTTAATTGAAATTGGAAAACAGGCAATGATGCAGGCCCGAGATGGAATGGACCATTATTCTGCGGTGCGAGCTGCCTGGATGGAAGCAGGTGATTGGAAGAAAGTTGTACAGATTTGATGACATGATAAAACCCTAGGGGTGATGTTGAGTGGTATGGGAGAGAAATCCAATCATGAGATTAGTTTTTCGAATCGCATAGCGATTGAGGCAATTGAAGCTTACGAGGAATGGTGCAAGGTATACAGGAAATCTCATTCAAGTTGAGTATGTGACATTCTTTGAATCAGGTGTGTGCGTTGGACCAAATTGCAGGAAATACGGATGAAGCAATTCAGATGCTGGAAACTACAATAGCGCAGAATGCTATTGCTTTGATGAGCCTGAATGAGGAATCTCAAAGTACCCAAGCATTATCCACGTTGCTCCCTTATGAGCCCAGCAACAATTTGCTTTTTCCCAAGGCTACAAACTGTGACTGCAATGGAAAACCTGGATCAAATGAAGACGACAAGTCTGAAAATATGAAGAGCGGAGATTGTGACAATGACTTGACGAGTTGCAGTGAACCTTGTATCGTGACGAACTGCAGTCAAAGCGACAATGACTCAACAAATGAACTGACAGATGAAGCAACGTCTGAACTAAACAATGTGAGCACTAGGCTTTCAAACAAGGAACACACATCGTCCTCTTCGCAATGCAGTGCCACTTCTTTTATGGAGAATCTCGAATTGAATTCAAGCTTGCCCGGGCATGAGTCCTCAAGGAGTGCAGATGGAGCAATACAAATGGCGTTGGAGAGAGCAGGAACCTTGATTGATGACGAACGTAGTGTGTTGCGAAAAGACCTTATATCCATATTTCCTTCTACTATTTTGTTTTCAGCTGGAGATTTTCTTCATGGGATTTTAAACGCCAAGCTGGTAATGGTCCTCGTCCTCTTTGATCTGTCATTGATATCATATCACAGGAAATTCTGAATCTGATATATTCAGCATGCTCTTCATTTATGCAGGAGCTGAAACTGCATCAATCAGTGGCAGATCCAGACGGATCTGTTGTCAAAAGGAAGCAAGACGCGATCGTCAAGATCAGAGACGTGCAGGAGCAATACGAAGTATGTATCATGCGATTGAAACAGCTCCATGACGTACATTTAAAGATTGCAAACGAAGAGTTGGAGGAAGCGATTCTCAAAACTAAAGGAAAACGAGCGATGAGACGAGGTCTGGACCTAGATGAGCTCCGAGCCGATGTCGCTTCAAAGAGACGTTTAGCACATGATGCCGCAAGAGCCGTCGAAAATGCCATTGAAGAATTGACGAAATCTTCCTGTAATCGTGATTGCTCATCGACGGGGTTTTGAAAGTTGTTTTCAGATGACTTTCCAGAGGTTGTTCGTCATCTCAGAGCCGGCCTACCAAAGGAGCTGATGCCAGTGTGGCAACCATCAAAGTCTCTCTCGTACTTTGAGAGTTGCTCCATCATTGAGACGGAGTCAAGGCATCGCGTGTATCAGGTCCTTGAGGTGAGTAGAAGCTCTGCTGTTGCTTGAGGTTGAGTTCGAATTCCAGGATGGGAAGATGTACGCGATAAAGGAATTCATGCTTCATGATGAAGGGTCTCTGAGAACATGCATGCGTGAAGCGGCGCTCTTACGAAGACTGAGGTAAGTCTGTAGCAAGGGAACTGTTCCTGACGACGCGATGTCGTTGCAGACACCCAGCCATTGCTGAGATCATATCCGTCTTCGAAGAATCTGAACCCACTCGTCACTCGATCTTCATCCAGATGCCTTTCTATCACTTTGGCCCTCTGGATGCTTGGATTCGACATCATGACCCTAGGTGAGTATCCGATTTACATTGTACTTTGCTGTAGTTTACGTTGCTGTCCATCACAACGTAGATATTTGAGTGTTCGTCGTGCTTTGCTTGACGTGTTGATGGCGTTGGAGCACCTCCATGACAATAATGTGGTTCACTGCGACGTGAAACCCGCGAACATCTTGATCGGAGCAGAAGAAAGAGCAGTGAGTTTGTTCTCTCGGACCATTCTTATTGGGACAACTGAAATCTCTTCAGAGACTCGCAGACTTTGACATCTCTGTCGATTGTAACGCAAGAGTTTCGGTCCAATATGCCAAGAGGATTTCCACATATGTCGGATTCACTCAAGGCAGACTGATTGCCGAAGCAGTGACGCCCAAGTTGATTTCGCTTCAGGTTTTGAAGCACCGGAACTGTTTGAGACGGGCTCGTCCAAGGCAACCGACATGTACGCGTATGGACAAACGATAGCGCTTGAGGTCACGAACCCTTCAAATCGATCGCCTCCTGCTGATCGATTGCTGCCAGGTCGTTCTCAATGCTTGCCTTGAACAGCCGAGTGAGGTGGACGAGCACAAGGAAGAGCCGAGCGAGCTGAAGGCAGATGAAGTCATCTCCCATGAGGAGATGAACCAGTTCGATTGCGACAGTCACTCCGACCTTCAGTGTCTGCAAGATCTGATCAGCGGTCTGAGAACCGCGGTTGTGAGAGAGAGACTGTCAGCCAAGGACGCGCTCAAGCATCCCTTCTTTCTGTCCGTGACCTCAAAATGCCAGGAGAAGGTCTCCAGAACGAGCTTGACAATGAGCTGACCAACTGAGTGATGCTGTGCGTGCAGACCCACGCGTGTTGTATCGGAGCGAGCGATCAATGTGTAGATCGCAACCTCTCCTTAGAGGTCGGCATTGAATGTCAGGAAGGACACTTCACTTGCAGGTGAGCTGAGGGGCTTCGAGTCGACCGAGACGAAGTGAGGTCTTGCAGATGGTGTCTGGCATCGTATGTGCAGGAGATGGGTGCATCAGAGCTGCGCCAGCGGGAGGCGAGGGAGGGCAAGGTCGTTGTCTCTTCCAAGAACTCTCACATCCCCTGACGCTCGTTGAAGATATTCTGCCCCTGCTATCCGATGTCGTGTAAGAGTGCTGCTTTCACCGATGGGGCCCTTGCCGCCCGACTTTCGCACAAGACCTTCGAAAGGCACGCGCTGCATATCCTCCCGGAGGGATGGAGGAGGAGAGGGCCCAACTCTCACCCTCGTCCTCAGGTACCTCTCCGCTCGGCTGGATCTGCTGGAGTCGCAGAGGAGGTTGGAGATCGAAGAAGAGATGCAGAAGCAGATGGAGGCAGAGCTGAAGAGGCTGCTGCTGATGGAGGAGAAGCAGAGGCATGTCCTGGCTGCAAGGACTCACATCGAGGAGGACATCTTACAGACCAGGTGCCTGAGCTCGTCGGGGAGGAGCAGGAGAGGCTGACTGAGGCTACAGGTGCCCGAACCCCTCCTGCCGGCAAGTCTACTATGACTTCGAGGGATGCTTTGCTCTCCGGTGACCGTCCGGGTATCAGGTTACGGTTCTCATACCTCCTGCAGATGCCTCAGGTGTGGTGTTGCGATATGCGCGTGGTGCGGGTTGGACTGCGGAGCGGTGAGAGCCGCATGCGGTCTGTCTGGTCGTGATCCCTCGGGACCAGGACGCTCATCATCATGTTGCCAACTGCGTGGAGAAGCCAGCAGGAGCAGACGTGTTCTTCGGCACCTCCGAGGTGAAGCTCAGCTGGAGTTGCCAGTGTGACTGACGAGCATACAGCAATATCAGCGAGCTGTACATGATCGCTGTGTGCGCAAACTGCAGAACTTCATGCAAACACTGCAGCCGGCAGTAGCCGAGGGTGTGCTGGAAGTTCTTCGGCCTCTTCTCAAAGATCGTCTGCCGGGGTTTGCAAGGATCTACGGCCTCTGATGGGAGCAGGGGAAGGAGGAGAGTATCATCTTAGTGCATTGGCATGCGGCTTAAGTCATTATCACCTAGTTAGTATTTATGAGGAAGAGCTCTGCGGGCGGACGGGAGTCTCGAATCTTGGTTGTCTCGGAGTTTTCATCGCAGAGCTGAGCTTGGTGTCAGCTGGGGGCTTGTTGGTGGAGCTCCTGCGACTCGTCAGTCTCTCGACAGGGGCAGGACGTCCCAAGTCTCACAGCAGCGCGTTGACGTTGGTCCTCCGGCAGATCCCCGTGTAGGAGCGAGGATCCTGCAGACGGTCGAAGACGTCAACCCGGGGGGTCCCGAAGGCTTCCCTCCCGTGCTCGCCCTCCTCCCCTCCTTGGCCGTGCTTGTCGAGTTGACCCTGCCAGCCGTCAGCTGGGCAGCTCCCCCCACCTGCTCCTCACCATGATCCTGGCGCGCAGGAGGTTCTCCTTATCGGCCTCATCGTGGCTTCTCAACCGAAGGCTCTCGATCCTTTCCTTGCAGACATCGAGCCAGTCGAAGAAGGCCGGGGCCGTCCGCAGCTTCACTTTGATCCTCTCCAACCTCTTGTACTTGCTCTGCCCCACCTTGTTGCGCTGGGCTGTCAGCCTGTCAAACACGTTGATCTTAAAGTCTCTGCTGGGGTTCGTCCCCTCCGCCTTCTCCTCCTGCTCTCCAACCTGCTCGAGCACTCAGGCAAGGCGGGCAGGACATCTCTTACCGTCTGCTTGCTGAGCTGCATGCCTCCTACCTCCAGCACCTCCAGCACCTCCAGCTCTGCTCCCTCCTCCTGTCCCAGACCCTCGTCGCTCTCCTTCCTCGCCTTCTGAATCACCTTCTTGAGGCTGGTCAGCTTCTCCGACAGAGCCTTCACGGCCTCCGACGGCTGGTCGATGGCGGTTGGCATGCTGATCACGGTGTCCTTGGAGAGCTCCCGCTCGACCTGCTCGAGCTTCCTCGCGTAGTCTTCGTTCTTCTCCCGCAGGTTCTCGTTCATGTTCCTCAGCAGCGCCAGCTCCTCGTTCCTCATCCTCATGATGTCCCTCAAGTTCTCCGCCTGCATCCCGCCCGGCGTGCTCGGAGGCAGCAGCTTGTCTGGGGTGACCTTCCTCCCTCCCTCCTCGCCCTCTCCCTCTCCCTCCTCGTTCACCTTGGAGTAGAGCAGCAGGCACTTCTCCTCGTGCATGGACTGCAGCTGGACGCATCGGTTCTCGAACTGCAGCTGGGCTCTCCTCAGCGCTCCCACCGCCTTCTCCTTCTCCCTGTTCTGCTCTTCGATCGCGATGCGCTGCAGCTCGATCTGGGCTCTGTGCCGGAGGTCCGACTCACGGAACAGCGCGGCCTTCTTGAACAGGAAGCGCAGCAGGAACTTCGCCTCCGCTCCATTCGCCTCCTTGATGGGCGCGTATGCCTCGGGCACCTCCATAGTATCGTCGTCTGCCCAGAGGCCGGAGGAGGACTCGAAGTCGGGAAGGGACTTGAGCTTCCTGTCTATCTGCGCGATCCTCTCCCTGTTGTAGTCAATCCTCGTGTTCTTCTCCTCGATCCCCTCGTTGAGCAACTCGATCTGCTCCTGCAGGTCGTCCGCCGACGAGCAGGACGACATCTCCGACGTCCTGTCCTTGCTCTCCCGCTGCTCTCCCCAGGCTTCCACCGGCTGCGCCCGTTTCCCCGCGCTGACGGTCTTCCTCTCGAGCTCCAACTGCAGCTTGTCTCGGCTCGCCACCACCTCCCTCACCTCAGCCCCCAGCTGCTTGTTGTCTGCCTTGAGCCGAGACAGCTCGGCCTGCAGCTTGCCTCGCTGCCCGTACTCCTCCAGCATGTTCTTCAGACGCGTCTTGGCGCGATTCATCTTGAACCTGTCCACCTTCTCGCTCATCGGCACCTGCGACCTCGTCCTGATCTGCAGCCCCTGCCGCCCTCCTTCTCCCTGCGACACCATCACTGAGGAGGAGACCACGGGCGCGCTGATCTTCTCCGCCTTCGCCACCCGCGCATGAGCAAGGGCGATCTCCCGGTTGTTGCGCTGCTGCGCCGCCCGCTCCTCCTCCCTCCTCCTTAGGACGCTCTTGAAGTGCGCGTTCTCCCGCTCCAGCTTCTTGATGGTGTACTCCGCCTTCTGCGCCGTCCTCTTCAGCTGCTGCACTTCCTTGTGGTGCCTCTCGCGCCACTCGCGGTACCTGCCACAGGGTCAGGAGGAGAGAAAGCGGGCCATTCGACAGGAGGAGGAGGGGATGGAGACGCCATCAGGAGGATGGGAAGGATAGGAAGGAGGGAGGAGGGAGGAGGAGGAGGAGGCACCTCGTTTCGTCTTCCTTCATCTTTCTGACGAGCTCCGCCTTGCTCTGCTTGCCCTTCTCAATCTCCTGCTGCAGCGAGTTGATTCTCTGCTGATCCCGATCGCGCTGCTGCATCCAGCGGGAGTATCCCTTCTCCTCGGTCCGCAGCTTAGAGACCTTCGCCTCCAGCTCCTTCACCCTCATCTGGTGTTCCTTCATCAGCCGCACCTTCTCCGACTCGTCCTGAGTCTTCAGCTTCTCCAACTTCTCCAGCGCCGTATGCGCCTCGTGCTCCGCGCTCTTCACTGCCTCCGCGTACGCCTGCATCCTCACCTCGTACGCCTGCTTCAGCTTCTCGTTCTCCGCCTTCTCCTTCATCAGCTGCTCTAGCAGCTTCTCCTTGCTGTCGATGGTGGCCGTCCAATCCCTCAGCTCCACCTCCTTCTGCAGCAAGCCCTGCCTCCACCGCCTCTCCTCCTCCTCTGCCAGCACAGCCTCCGAGCTCTCCGTCTCGAGCGGTGGCAGATCGTCTCCCTCATCGTCCGAGTCCAGGCAGAGCTCCTCCGGCAGCTCCTCCTCCCTCCTCTTGTCCTCGTGCTGTTTCAGAAGGTCGTCGAGCTTCTTCCTGAAGTCTCCCATCAGGTTCGGCGAGTCTCGAGTCTCCGCCTGCGCCTCCTCGTGCGGCGTCTTCTGCGCGGGGGAGGGAGAGAACGCCGCATGCACAGCAGGGGACATGGAGAGACGGGCCAGCCCCTGGTTCTCCAGCTTCAGAGCCTTGTTCTTCTTCGACAGCGCTTCTATCTTCTTCATCTTGGCGCTGAAGACCGTCTGGTCCCGCTGAACGTCCTGCTCCAGCTTCTTGTTCTGAGCTCGCAGCAGCTCCACCTCGCTCCTCGTTTCCAGCAGCTCAGCCTCCAGCTTCTTGATCCTCTCCTCCTTCTCCTCCAGGACCTGCAGTGCGATCAGGACCGCAGCAGCACGCGCAGCAGCAGCTGCCACCGTCAGCCCATGTTCTGCCGCCTCGTCCAAGGGCTTCCCGGTGTGCTCCTCGAGGAGGAAGCGGAACTTGTCTCTGTGAGACTCTACCTCAGCCATCTCAACCTTCTTGGCCTCCAGCTGCCGGAACGTCAGACAGCAGCAGACGCAAGCCGTTCCTCTCACCTCCTTCACTGCGTGCTGCATGTCGTTCTCGGCCTTCTCGAGCTTCAGCAGGAGCTTCACCTGCAACCCAATTATTTCTCCTCCTCCTCCTCCTCCTCCCAGCCACTCACGTTGTCTTGCTGGCTCTTCTTCAGCTCCGCCTTCACCGTCTCATCCGCCACTCCGATGTCCATGTGCTCGCCTCCCGTTACCTCCGGCAGCAGCCCCTGCAGGTCTTGCACGGACAGTCCCGCCTGCTTCAAGGCCGCGTCTCGCTCGCACTTCAGCCGCAGCATCTGCTCCTTCATGGCCTCTAGCTGGGCCTCACGAGGGTCTCTGTTCACCACGGGCTTGTTCTTGATGTTCCTCGCTCTATTGGCGTACACCAACGTGTTGTAGCTCTCGGCGAAGTTGCTGTCGGCCGGGCTGATGCAGGCGATCATCAACGTCCGGCTGTTCCCTCCGATGGAGTCTTGCAGCATGCGGGTCAGCTTCGAGTCCCTGTACGGCACGTGCGACCCCTTCCTGCTCTCGTCGCCCAACGCGCTGATCACGTTCCCGAGCACCTGCCACGTGTCACCAGAGGGTCCAGCAGGGAAGGGGGGAAGGTACCAGCAGCCCGTAGTTGATGTTGATGCCCTCCTTCAAGCGCTCTCCTGCCGCCTGCGTCCTCTTCGCCCGCTCAGACCCTGCCAGGTCTACGAAGTGGAACTTGCTCGTGATGCTCGACGGGCCGTGCGGCTCCTGCCCGCCCTCCGACTCCGAGCCGGAAAACTGCATGTCAGTGCTCTGCTCGATGGTGACCGTGAAGATAGCATGCGAGCGGGAGGAGACGGAGTTCATCGAGGTGCTCCCCACGCTCCTGCACACTGTCCCCCGCTCGAGGCAGTGGAACATCTCGTCGCAGGTCTCGACAGGCTCTTCGGTCACCCCAGTCACCACGATGCTGCCGTTGGGCCCTTCACGCAGCGAGATGTTCTTGTGTTTCCCGTGGAGGTGAGGCTGGTTGTCCAACAGGTCCTTGATCTCTTCGTTGTAAATCTCCAGGAAAGAAACGTGGATCTTGTACTGAACGTCAGGCTGTTTTACCTTCTGTTCTTTTATGTCGTCAAAGAGCTGTCGGATTGCTCTTGGAATGATTCCTTGTTCGTCTTCAAGCATGGCGTCAATGCTAGTGCTGCCCATGGTGTAGGTCTTTCCAGATCCTGTCTGGCCGTATGCAAGAACAGTGGCATTGTAACCCTTGAGACATCCTCGGACAAGCTCTCGTACACATTCATCATAGATGATTTCTTGCTGTGAGTCGGCATCGTACACCATATCAAACGTGAAGTACTTGCTTCCAAGCTTGATCTGCTCCTTATCGAGCGCTTGCACGCACGGCGACGCCTCCTCAACACGCTCGCGCGTTGACAAGGGTCGTGCCTGGTGAAGGGCAGATAAGTCCGAGCAAGAAGACAAGACAACATCATGAGAGTCTCACCCTGACAGCAACTCTGACAGAGCTCTTGTCCCCTCCCCATATATCTTTTCCGTTGTCATTCACCATCCTTGCTTGATGAAGCTGTTCTGTCCGTAGACAGAAGCTTCAACCTTCTTCTGACTCCCCAACTTGCCTTCAACCTGCACGCATTGTCAACTATCTAAATTTTGATGAAAATTATCATGAATGTATGGAATCTTGTCATCGCATGTAAGTTGGACAACTTGTAAGTTGGACAACTACTTCAGAGTTTGCTGTCAGCATGCTTGCTGTTCGCATTACACCTCTTGCTTTCCATATCTCTATGAAATCGAGAGCAAATCACGAGAGACATAGACGTGAAGCTCAACACAATCTCTTCAAGCTTTGTCGCATCTTTTCAACGACATCGCCATACCCCCGCCTTGCACGGCTGCTCTGTGGGCTCATGTGCAGGGGGAGCATAGCCAGGCAGTGGCGTGTAGATTTGAAATCAAACGACCGACAGTTATCAAACCGTTACGATTGATTCGGAAACTCCCGGCGGGGACTCAGTCCGTCCGACGGTCACGGTCACTTGGCGCCCGGCCCGCACGGTCACCTGAGTGACCGTGCGGGCCGGGCCGTCCGAAATCCGATGATCGCCTCCAGGGTCCGACGGTCCGGTCACGAGTCAAGCCTCAGGCTCGACTCTCCTGATTGCACGGTCCTCCTACTGGCGCCTTTTCACTTAACTTTGAGTAAAGGAGTCTTGGCAACTCACCAATGGTATACTGAGTGACTGAGGGGCCCACTGTCACCGATGGTTTGACGGCCCGGCCGGGTTGATGGTGACCTCACTGGGAGGCTCACGGCCCTGCCAGGGCCCGCCCGGTCTGGCCAGTTACACGAAGTTCAGTATTTTGAGGCACAAATATAATTATTTACCCACATCTCTGTCTGAAAATCTGATCCATCAAATCACTGAGGGGTAGTGGGAAGGAGAGAAATGGGTAGGGGTGGTGAGGCGTGGCCTTTCCTGTCATTTGTCATGTCGGCAGGAGGGAGGGAGGGAGGGGACTGAAGCGAGGGGAAGGTCGAACGAGAGAGGGAATGGAAGGATTGAGATAGTTGCAAGAGAAGATGAGGATATTCTCGCTCATTCTACTCAGTCTCTTCACCCCTGGGTCCTTCGGTACGACATGCTCGCAGACTGAATCCCTCTTCTCATTGGCGAAAACCGACCTTGTCTTCAACTGGTCGTCTGAGTTGGTAGTCTTCAACAACAATGTACATATCAACAGTACCTATGCCCATGGCTTCGATGTAAAGTATAATATTTCATGTGTTTCCAGCAATGTCAATTTTTTCGATTCGTTCGCCACTTTGCCAGAAGTGAACGGCAATGGCGATTTGCAATTCAAACTTTCACGGGGAAGAATAGGAGGGAACTTTCAATTCATCATTTCGGCTTCGATAGTCTCAGATTTGTCTGCGTGCGTAACTCAAGAAAGGTCATTGAACGTTACCTTTTTCACTGCTTTAGTGGATGCCCAGTTCAATGTTTCTTGCGTTCCCAACTCCACAACGTGCGCGCTCTCCGACTTCCCGAACATCTTTGCTTCTCAATTCCCTGAGTACATGATGAACGCAGATATCCGTCAATTGGACACAGGGTTGTTTTCGTTGAGACAGTGGTATTTCACCGGCCTTGATGCCCTGGCAGGTTCCGAGAGATTCAACTCCACAATGGACGTGGGAGAAACGTTGATATCCCAAACGATCTCAAGTCATGCACTCTTCTACGACGAATCACTTCAGAACAGGATTGTGTTCATTCCCCCACTTGAAGTCAACTCGGAGCAGAGTCCCGTTGAGAGCATACCCATCGTTGTCGAAATTCTATGTAAATATTTGCCTGTGAATGCGAGTGGAAAGCCGGACTTCCTTTATCCTGTTGAGAGCAGTGAAATCTTCCAATACCGGCAATATGAAATCGACGGGAAGTTCAAAAGTTGGATTCCAGATACGAACCCTCCCGAGTCTCTCGTCCAGAGGTACAACAATGAATCTTGGCTGGATGACCGGTACAAGCTTCGGTTTGTGATCCCTGCGAATGCCTCTGGAGAAGTGATGATCAAGATAAAGATCAAAGTAATCGACGTGGTGGTTGATGGCGATTTCCTGGTAAAGATCCTACCAATTCTCGAACCACCGGAATTTGTACTGTTTCCGGACCCTCTGCACATAGATCGAAACAGCGAGCCAGTCTGGATCAAAGTGAATGTGAGCAGCCGCGGGGGGTGGCTGGGAACGACTTTGTTGCCCTTGTTGCAGCCGGAAATCAAGCTGAAAGATGATCTGGTTCTAAGTGCAGTGAGCTACGAGGCTTGCGAAGAGGGTGACCCCTGTTTTCAGCTTGCCTTCTATCCAGACAGATATGGAGATGAAGAAATCACGGTGACCTTGCGCAATGTTGGCTTGAACTTCACCATCTTTGGGCAAGACAGCTCAAGTGTGAATATGACGATTCATGTGCGCTTCAAGAACATCGCCCCGATGTTTCAGCTAGAGTCGGAAATCTTGGTGTTGACCGAAGATTCCTCGTGCACTGATGGTTCAATTTCGAGCGACTTCAAGCCTATCAATTGCAAGAACACAGTCGATGACTTGCGATTTGAGTTTCTCAACTTCGCCTACGAAATCACGATGGGTCTATACGATGACAAAGGCCTTGGTTGCCCTCCGAACGATCCCTGGAAATACTTACTATGTAACAACCAGACTGGCACGTTCAATGTGAACTCCTCGGAAAGTTTGGATCTGCTCTTTGAAGAGCCACCAACAATAACTCCTGACGGAAACTTTAGTTTCAAATTGGCGAGCAATCAATCTGGTGAGGTCAAGTTGAATATCTCATTGACCGATGATGATCCTGTCATGCCATTGACCTATACAAGAATTCTGAGTATCATTGTCCTTCCCATCAACGATCCTCCTCAATTTGAGCTGCAGCCCCTGTTGACAACACAAGAAAATGCTTCGTTTCAGACAATCCCATCATTCATCACCAACATCACAGCAGGTTGCTTGGCATGTATAGACGAGACATCTCAGCTCGTTTCGTTCGAAGTGAGATACGACGTTGATCAGTCTTTCTTCGTTGACGGGAAGCAGCCAACTATCCTCGTCGAGCCTCATTCCCAGACTGCCACTCTCACTTTCGAAGTGCAAAAGAGCGTGTTCGGTCTCGTGCATCTATCAGTAAGAGCCATTGACAGTGGCAACACGCTCCGAGGAGGTTCTGATACTTCCCAGTGGCATAGTTCGACCCTGGAAGTCTTGCAAGTGAATTTCCCTCCATCATTCTCGATCATCGAGGAATCTGTCTTTGCTCGTGAGAACGTAGGAGTTGTGTCTTCCAGGAGAATCATATCTTCTATCAGTGCTGGAGCTCCCAATGAAAATTGTAAGCTTCAAGAGAGCTCTTACTGCAAGCAGCAGAACTTGACATTCAAGATCATGTACATCGACAGGAGTGATCTGTTCTTCCGTCTTCCCGTGATCGACGTGAACGGCAATATGACATTCGCGGTGGCTCCTTCCGTCCAGGGAGTGTCGAGAGTCTTCTTCAAGCTTGTCGATGATGGGAAAATAAATCCTGTGGATGCAGCGATCGGCAACCAGACAAGCATACAGGTGGTGTCAATCATCGTGCTCCCAGTAGAGCACAGGCCTGACTTCTCCCTATCTCAACGCGTTTCCTGCAAGAACCTGTCGAGCTCGATGCACGTGGCCTGCTTCTGTCCCAAGGTCATCGCAGGAACCAACTGTTCGGAGCTGTTGGCCACCAACAAGTTTTCGGTGGAATCGGATGCTGATGTATCAGTGGTGAACAACTTTGTCGAGCGAGTGTCGAACGCCAGAGGTTTCATTCCTGCCTCTCAGACCTCCTTCCTCGTCAACGCGACGTCTGGCAACCTCGAGCTGCTGAACTATTCCACCGACCCGTTCCTTTCACAAGCGGGGTTAGAGTATGTGACCAAGTACGCTTTTCTCAAGGACATGTCCTACATGTTTGCGATCGAGCCTGATGCAGACTCGCTCACTATCTTCAAGAATGACAACGGAGTTCTGAATGTCTTCGACCGCAAGGTGGATCAGTTCCATACCTTAACTTTCAGAGGTTTCAGCCCCACAGAGAAGTTTGACCGGACTCCACTGCATTTTGCAACGCAAGATGTCTTCACTGCAAACTTTTTCCACGAAGCCAACAACACGTACCTGGCTGCAAGTGGCGGAGGAGAACTGACAAGAAATCTGGTTGATTGGGCAGCTTTAGATGTAAGGCTCTTCTTTTGCTTCTCGTAACCCGCTGACATGTTTGCTTGTCAGATGCCTGAGCAGGAGTTCAAGCAACGGTATCAAGACTTCTTGTATCCCCAGGATCTATGGAGCAAGACTTCAGCATGCTGGGTGATGGATATAGACAGTGTCTTCAGCGCAGCAGGCGTGAGTGAGAGCGAGTTGCATGACAGATTCAACGTGGATGCTTCTTCCTTCTATGCACAAGTCCAGCGGTCAACCGACCTTTCGTATGAGAGGATTACAAACTTCTCCTGCTCGGACCTGAATGGTTGCAGCATGTCTAGGGACAAGCTGGCAATCGACTACGAGCATTGCCCTGCATTCGCTCAAGCTGTTGTGTCTGGCTGTCCACTTTGTACCGAGCAGTATCCTTCCAACGTCAAGTTCGCCACTTTGCGCGACCTCACCGGTAAGACTGGCCCCCTGGTGCTCCCGGGCCCTCTCTGCAAGAGAAGGGACGTCTGCACGTACCCCATCTGCAACAGCAGGTACAGGTGGTGGGACAAGGTAGTTGCCATGGACTGGGACGCCGAGTCTGATCAGGTCGACTTGCGAACTTTCGTAGCGAGCAACCGCAGGCTCTCGGTGATGCAATTCGACGACAACCTGAACACTGGCCTCTTCCTTACCTACGACATGAATACTGTGATCCAGAAAATGCCGAAGGCAGAGTTCAGCGTTGAAACCTGGTTCACTATCGAGGCCACTCCCGACGCTGACCTTGACTTCCAGCAGCCAAGGTTCCGTTACCTCGTCGGGGTAGAGCAATCCACTACCGAGTGTGCCCAAGGCTGGTCACTCTCCTACTCTCACACCCAATCTCAGACAAGCTTCCGTTTCTTCGTGGGGACAGCTTGTGCTGATGTGTTGGCCAAGACAGCCAGCGCTGACGCCAGTCTCCTCGTCCAGCTGCCAACGATCGCCAACGGCCGATGGGTCCACATCATCGGGACTTACAATGGCACCCACATGCTCCTGCTCTACAACGGGGTCCAGTACTCCAAGACACTCAAAAACGTCACCTGTGGGCCCATTCTTTACCCCGGACTGACCAGCTACGACCAGCTGAACTTGAGGTGCAACAGGAACCCTTACAACTTCTCAGTGGGCGCGGGCAAGAATGGAGGATGGAACTTTGACGGCAACTTCAAGAATCCAGGGCCTGGCAGTGCGCACCAGGGAATGTTGCACATGGTCAGGATCTACAACGATCCCCTGACCAAGGAGGAAGCTATCCTTCAGTACCTGAGGAAGAAGCCGAAGATGGACGAGAACACTATCGACCAGTCCACCGTCTCTTTCTCCTCCATCGCAGTCGGGGACGTTCTCGTCCCTAACGTTGACTTCGCTCTAGCTCACAACCCCTCTGACATCCTCCTGCAAGGAAACTTTGACGCGAAGTTATCCTACTCCTGCCGTTGGGAGGTCTCCCTCCTGAATATCACTGAGTCCTCCCCAGCTACCATTACCAACGGCTCAACGGGCTACCAGCGGCTCTCCTGCACCAGCCCCGACTGGACCCACGGGGTTCGGGTTGCCGATTTCTATATCAGCCTCGACCAAAAGACCTCCAGCGAAACCAACAGCACCCTCGGCAGCACCACCATCAGCACTCCGTTGTGGCAGAGAGTGTGCCTGGACCCCAAGTGCGGCTTCATCTACGAGAGGATCAAGAGAAACACCTCTTGGATCTTCGGTTCGCCGTTCCTTCAGGACGGAGCAACCCGGTGGCTGCTGACAAGCAAGGTCACCTCTGTCCCTCTCTTCTTCCACTTCTCGACACCCAGCTTCCTCTTCAAGGTCTCCTCTGCCTTCCTCCAGGTCACCAGCCATGGCGTCGGTTACGTTGACGGCAAGTACCGAACGGAGCAGCAGGAGGCGAGCTCTGCGCTCTCCTTCTTCGGCGAGTGTCTCAACGGACTAGATGCGGCTCTTCGTAGCCCGAGATGCAGCAGGAACCCCCTTGGAGTCGTCCTGGACGTGGGCTGGGGAGATGAGACCGCAAGCATCTCTCTTTACTACCCTGATGGCTCCACCCCGATGGAGGACACAGTCACGGGCATCACGATCCTGTCCCCTGGTTCGAGTTACGTAGCAGGAAGCTGGAAGACTTTGACCGGATGTCAAACTCCTGCCAATGGGACGTTTGACGTCAACCCTTCCACCGGCGGCGTCGTCTCTTTCACAATCAACGTGCACGGCGTCGGTTGCAGCCTCGGGCTGGTCACGGCGAACCTCCAGCTCCTGTACTCAGACACATCGAGTCCGCAAGCCGCCTCTGTGACTTTCGTCTCCTTTGTGCTCAACAGCAGCGAGATCATGACGGAAGGGGTCGTGGAAGAGCCTGTCATCGTCATCGACCACCATGGCGGCTCGGGCTTCGCTGCCAATTGCTCCTACAACTCCACCGGGCATGTCACTGGGGTCGTGATCGACAACCATGGCAGCGGCTACAGCGCCCTCTCTCCTCCCTCCCTGCGATGTTTCGGAGCAGTTTTGACCGCCCACGTGCCCAGCGGCGTCAACCTGACAGCCCAGGTGGCCCACGGGTTCCAGTACGAGCTGGTGCAGGGCAGAAGCCTGGTGAACATGCGCGAACTTCGCTTCGGTCAGGATCACGGCAAGTGGAGGAAGGGCAGTTGGCCGTACTGGAGCAGTTCCTCTTCCATCTACCCCATGAAGGCTGACAATGCTACTTACCTGATCGTCAGCAGCAACTTCGACGGGCTCATCGCCAGCCACCTCCTCCCAAGCAGTGAGGGGAGGAGAGTCAACGACCCCGAGCATTCCTTCCTCCTCTTCCTCGATGACTCCTCGGGGTTCCCCCTCGTCAACTGTGTGCAGGAGATTGAGACCTCGGGCGCTATCGCATGGCGATCGTTCAGCATGTTCGACGCCTCGTTCCTCGTCGCTCTCAACTTCTACCAGCTCGACTCCAACGGCTCCCTTCACACTGACTCCTTCTCCGACGTCTTCCTCTTCCTCCCCAGCAACGACACAGCTCAGCTGCAGAGCCCGAGGGGAGACTGCTCCTACCTCTCTCCTCATGGCTCGAGCCCCGTCCGCGTGCAGAGCGTGAGACATGAAGATTCCTTACTTTTTTCCTCGTGACATCTTCTCAGCACACCAAGTTTCGAACCCAAGGGGCAGCAGACGCGAGGCTCTTTACCATGTACAACAACCAGAGACGACGGAGGGTACCGACTCTGCTGCCCTACGGTTCTAGTCGTTCTTATGTTCCATCCCAGATGCCATACATGGTCGTTGCAAACTATTTCGACACGTCCACTACTTCCCCGCCACCGTCGAAGCTTTACCGTTTAGGAAGGTCTGATGACATTCTCCGTGTTGAATTGTTTTGCCTCCCCGCTCTTTGCTCTTTGCTCTTTGCTCTTGCTCTTGCTCTTGTGTTGCATATAGTATGGTCCCCCTGTCTACGTGCTGATCTTATACTGAAACTCTCCGCGTCTTCTTCTCTCAGGATTGTCAACTCGACCCACACTCAATTCAGCACATCAAACTTGATGTCCTATCCAGCTTGCTCGGACTCCTTACATCCTTGTTCCAACAACACAGATTGCAAAATCCATCGGTCAGTTCTTGATCGCATTGGTCAAAACTCCCGGCTTCTCACTCCCTTCTGCCCTCCCTTCACTCCTTCACTCCTCCTCCCCTGTTTCCTCTTTCCTTCGTTCTCCCTCTTTCCTTTGTCCCACTCTGTCTCCTTCAAGTGTCACTTTTTCATCGCAATTTATCATCTTGATTCGATTCTTCTTGATCAGGTGTGATGTAAGCTGCGTTGTTGAGTTTCAAGGTCAAGCATACTCCAAGACCTGTCTCTGCAGCAATAACATCAGCAACATGTGCACAACAGACAGCGAATGTAACGTTGACGTGGAGTGCAAACCTCACAGCTGGGAAGTTGAGGCGGAGAATCATCAGTGGTGCTTGCAAGGAAATCAAGTTCTTCTCGGAGAACAGCCTGAAGGGAACATGATGTTGTGTGAGATTCAACAGTTTGATACCCAACTTGCTTCGTCTGTTGAGTATATCTCTTCTGGGCCCTCTCATATCATCATGTTTGGATCCGATTCTTCTCCTGTCAAGGTTGTTTTGATTGATGATATGATATTGTTTCCTGACTTTCTCCTTCTCGTTCCTCTCGTCCTTTTGGTTTTTCTCTTGTTTTCTCCTCCTCCTCCTCCTCCTCCTCCTCCTCCTCCTCCTCCTCCTCCTTTCCTTCTCTTTTCTCTCTCCCACAGGTTTTCATGGCACGTGAAGGCTCCGAACTGTTTCAGAGCTTACAAGAGATCAGCACTCGTCGCGTCACCTTCCTTCGCTCCTTCTACTCAACCAGCCTGCAAAGTTCTTTCCTAACTGTGGTGGAAGAGGAGGGAAGCAGAAACTTTGGGTGGAATGGGACGAAACTGGTCGAGCAGCAGAGATTGGCAAATCTCGGAGGGACGTGCAGTGACTACGTGGAGACTGGTCAAGGAGGGATGGGCGTGTTGGTCGGCGGACAGACTAAGTTAGACAACCGTCTCTTACTCTTCAGCGTTTACACAGAGAAGCTTTACGGCCTCGTACAGCCCAACGCGATCTCACTCAGCCCGGACGAACGATTCCTGTACGTCCTTTCTTCCTTCTCTCGCTCCATGTTTTGTTTCGACCGGAACCTGTCAAACGGCGAGATCGACGTGTCCTTCACCCTTAACTGCCAAGACTGCCCGCTCCCCTACAACTCTTCCTTCTCCCCCCTGTGGATCTCCGAAGAGGATCGATGGGGAGATGTTGCAGACTTCGTCATCAGCAGCGACGGGCTGTTCCTCTACTCCATCAAGACCTATCGGGCCTGCATCGAGATATGGAGTCGAGATATAGCCTCCGGATCCCTCATCTTCCTCCAATCCTCTTGTGTGAGTCAGGAGATGCAAGAGCTCCTCTCCTCCCCTGCCGCCATCGCCCTCTCTTCTTCCGGCAGTCGCCTCTTCGTCGGCTTCTCCTCCTCCCAGTCTCTCGCAGTGTGGGAGAGGAGCAACAAGACTGGAGCTCTCTCTTTCCTCGACTTCGTCCGGCAGGGGACAAGAGACGTCATGACGATGAGCGGAATGGAGGGGGAGGCATGAAAGCTTTCCTCGTCCTGTCACAGACTACCTCAATCTGCAAGCATCCAACGTTTCTCTTGCTCTCTGCGCGTCTCAGGGGACAAAGTTCCTAGGGCTCGACCTGCTGGCTCTTTCCTTCTGCTCGTTCTACGACCCGAGCAGTCAAGATCGCGTCGTGATCCTTGCATGGAATGACTTGTCATCGCGGTTTGACGTGAAGTATGATGCCAAGGTAGACAGTGGAGTGATGGAGATGGAGTTCTTTCAGGTATGACCTTGAGACTTCCGCGATGCTTCCTGAATCTTCTTGCACCAGGTCGAAGTCGTCGACGGCCAGCCCTCCTTGTTCCTTGCAGTGATGAAGCAGAACGGAGAGGTTGAGGTTGAAATGTGGGACGGGAAGAAGGAAAGTCTTGTGTTAGCTCAGAGGCTGCAGTCTACACCTCTGCCATACGATGCCGAAGCCTGTCATTGTATTTGCGATGACCCACTTGGAGTCAATGGCCCGTGCGTCAGCCTCGGCGGCGTCAAGAGTTCTCAGAGTGCGGCAAACAGCTCCAAAACTTGTCAAAGTCAACCCCTCACGATGGTTCCAAGTCACATCAAACATTTCCTGATCAAAGAATCGCGTGACAGCCTACTGATCGCCTCGTTCTTCTCTTCTTCATCTGCGCTCAGAAGCTGTTCAAGGTTGAAACGATGTTGTTGCACATTTTGTCAAGGAATGACACGTAGACAGGTCCTACACCCTCATCTACCGACTCAACGTCGACTTAGTCGACCCAGCATTTGCAAACGGCCTCAACTTTGAGCTGTTTTACATTCTCCCAACCTCCGGTGATTGTAGAAGTGCGTCGTGTCAGACTCTCTGACTCTTGTTCAGGTTCTGTTATGATCGATCACGTCAGGATAGTCGAGAATGGAAACGTGTTTGACCTGATGAGGTGAGCGGAACAGTCATCGACCCTTATCACTAACGACTTCTATCCCCAGCGTTGCCAACATGGACGAGGACTCGTCGTCCGAAATCCTCTCGTTCATCCCGTACGCCTACAACCATCACCTTGAGTACAATGCAGGCACCTTCACTCTCTTTCAGACTCTCTCGCATACAGGTAAGACAAGGTGTTCTTTCATGTCCTGTCCTTATGTCTCCTCTCGCTCCAGGTCTCACGTCACTCGCTTTCTTCGAGATCGCTGGCGCGGGTCAGTTCCTGTCGACGTCCACCCAGCAGAACACGACGAGCCTGCTGGCGTCTGTGCAAGGGACGGACAGTTTGAACATCACATCGTCGTGGATTATGAAGTGGAATGGATCTCAGTTCGAAGACTATCAGGAGTTTCATCTCAACTACAACCTTTCTTCTCTCTCTCTCTCCTCCAACGTCACTTGCAACATCTCGGATGGTCAGAGCTGCAGCCAGGCATCTTCTGCCAACCCGTTCAACTCGGACTTTGTGGGGGCGATCAATGCGCAATATTTCTTGGACCTCGACATGGAGTCTTACCTCATCGTCTCAGCTTCACTTTGCCATCCCTTCCTCAACAATGGCATGTGCAATGGGTCATCGCCATCGTCCAAGTTCCTCCAGTGGAACAGGGTGACGATGAAGTTCGAAGATGTCTTCGACGTCACAGACAACCTCAACGAGATTTACTACGGGCGACCGATCCCTCTCAGTCACTTTGACCACCTCCGCCATGTTGCCTTGAAGGTCAACACAGGAAGGCTGATGTCATGGACCTTGTTTCCGACCGACAACGTTCTCTGGCTCATTGCAAACAACCTTGATCGACCAGCTCTCTTGTTTCCTTTCAACTTCACCGTCTTCGACGGTTTCTCCGCAGTCTCGTCCCTTGCAGCCGACCATGATGGACGGAGGCTGGTCTCCACTTCTCAGAGGGAGGCAGCGCTGGTAGTGTTGCGCGTTGACCCTCGTTACGACCACGAAGGAAACCTCTTCTCCATGTTCGCCCTCCAGCAGAAGATTGCAGACGAAGATCCGGGCCCCTACTACGACGGGCGCACTCGTTACGGTCTGCGAAGGGTCAACACGATCTCTATGGAGAAGCGGGAGTGTCCTTACAACTCTTCCCTCTCCTGCGAGCTGGTGCTGGTTCGAGGGACTGTCCCTCGCAACGAGCTTCCCTGCGGCGTTTCCCCTCCTATTCGCGCTTGTCCTCCCGGCATCTCCTACCTCTGTCAGAGCTTCCTCGACCCCCTCAGCCCTCCCCCCGTATGCAAGGATTACAACTTCGCGGTCAACGTCCTCGGCGGCGACCCCGTCGGTTTCTCGTCTCCTCCCCTCGTCTACAGCTCGTTCGGGCTGCTCCTCGGCTCTCTCAACTTTTCCCTCCTCCCTGCTCGGGCAGGATCGGCTCAGCTTCTCCTTACCATGCTCAAGCCGCTGCCTCCCCCCGTCTTCCTCAACGGCGCTGAGAACCTTCCCCAGCTTCTCAACTGGACCAGGAAAGAAGAGGAGTTCTATGTGCAAGTGATCAGGACGCCAAGGGTGCCAACCATGATGGTCAGCAACGTCGAGATGGCTGCGGATGATGGCAGTCAACAATCAGTCACTTTCGCTCAAGAAATTCTGCTTGACGTGAGTTGTTGTTTCACTTCTCCGTCTCTCCCCCTCCCTTCCTCCTCCTCTGCTCTCCTCCCCTTCCCTCCCCTCCTCTCCCCTCCTCTCCCCTCCCCCTTGTCCTCCTCGCTCCCCCTCCCGTCTCCTCTCAAATCGAGCACTTGTTGTTGAAGCTTGAGCGACAGGAGCAAGAATACCTGAACCTGTCATGGATCTGGAGTGCAAGAAACTGCTCCCTTCTCTCGACTGCCAACAACACCTTACTTAGCGCGGCACTGAACAGGACGGTTGAGGCTGACAGCTGTTTGACATCTCCGAAATTCGAGTAATCTCATCATCATCATCATCATCATCTTCTTCTTCTTAATCTTCTTCTTAATCTTCTTCTTAATCTTCTTCTTCTTCTTCTTCTTCTTCTTCTTCATGTTCATCATCTTCATTTACCTCTTTTGCCTCGTCCCTCACAGTGTCTCACATCCTTGTCTGCAGGTTCTCCGGGAGCTCTGGAGTTCTGACCTGTAGCCCTTTCTCGTTCTCTACAAGGAAGGTGAGCAAAAGAACGCTCTCTGCTCTTTGACATCAGCTGATGCTCCTTCCTGCTTCCTCCTCCTCCTCTTCCTCCTCCTCCTCCTCCTCCTCTTCCTCCTCCTCCTCCTCCTCCTCTTCCTCCTCTTCTCTCTTCCCTCGTTCTCGTTCTCATCCCTCCTCTCCCTCCTGATCAAGTTTTCCTCCTCCTGATTGACCTTTCCTCCTCACAGGTTTGTTTCAGTGTCGCCATCGTGCAGACTGTTTCATGGAACCCCATCGTCGGCTCTCAGTTGAGGTCGTACCAGATGGAATTCAACCTCACTCTCCTCCCTCTCAACCTCCCACCTCTCTTCTCCCCGCGCCCATCCTCCTTCGATCTCTGCGAGGACAGCGGTTTCCAGACCTTCAACGGGTTTGTGGGAGGATGCACAGTAGAGCTTTCCCTGTGCTCCTTGAACTCTTCGTTGACTCCTCATCCGACTCCGTTGCCGGGGTCGTCGTCAAACTATCCCGACGGTCTTTTCAACGAGCCCCAGCAGCAAGTTTCGTTTGTGTTGCAGCATGTCAACCAGCAGGCGGATAGCCCGTGGAGTAGCCTGGGCCTGGCGGTCTTCGAGCACTTTTCCGTCAACAGCACTGGGACGCTGGTGGGTTCTATTGGGTTGCATCCTGTTGTGTCTTTTTTTCTTTTTCTTTTTCTTTTTTCCTCTTGATTGTGTGCTGTGTTTGCTTGTGAGAGGGACTGACATGCACTGTAGCTCTTTGCAATCAGCAACAACTACAACGGAGATTTCAGCGCATCGCTGATCGTGTACGACGATGGCCAGGGAACGAGGGGAGGGTCAAACTCGACGAAGCTGACGCTCATGTTCCGCGTGCTGCCCGTTAACGATCACGCCAGCATCATGCTGGGTCACGTGACCTGTCTCTTCTCATCGTCGATGGCTGGACAAGTCAGGAGGACAGTCAGCGACTTCTGGCTGACCAGCCTGTACAAGAACTTCATCTTCAACGAGTCAAACTGCTCCGTGCGTTACAACCTCTATGGCAGCTACGTGGACGAGACTGTAGCTCTGCCGGGGGCGATTTCGATCCTGCAGCCGCTGGACGAATCCTTGCAGCATGTCAACGTGTCGGTGAGGGTCCTTAGCGGCGGAACTCTCTTCTCTCTTCCTCCTTCTATCGATCGCAATCTCACTCTCCACCTTCCTCTTGCTGGCAAGATGATTGGAGAAGCTGTGTTGATGATCTCTGTTGTGGATTCGATGCCGTCCTGTCGATCGACAGTCGATGGGCTACAAGTGGGGCAGGATGTTCTCAAGACGGAGATCGTTGCCCATGTCAATGTTGACTCTTTCCAGCAAGTTCCCAACTACACGATGGTTTCGTACATCGAGTTCACAGGTTTGTACTCTAAATCATGTCTACGCAATACTTGTCATCATCATCATCATCATCATCACCACCACCACCACCACCACCACCACCACCACCACCACCATCATCATCATCATCATCCAGCTTACAGCTTACAGCTTACAGCATCGTCCCTGATTCTTCTTCCAGATCAACCAGGACTGCACTCTTATCCAAACTTCGTCACCTTCGACAACTTCCACCTCGATGTCAACTCCTCCTTCCGTTTCTTCTCCTTCTCCGTCGACTGCGTCTCCACGGCTGAAGGAATGTTCCTCGTTACTCCATACATCGATTCACACGGCACCTTGCTCTACTCTCCCTCCCCTGGTTTCGGAGGGAAGGGTCAGTGCAGAGTTCAGATCAGCCTGCCTGCCTTCCAGATCACTGCTTCCTCCTTCAAGACCTTCTCCTTCCTCCTGGTCCCCCGGCCGTACCTTCAGCAAGTCTCTCCGCTCCTCGCTCGCATGCTCCAGGAGACCTCTATCACCATCGTCGGAAACAACTTCGAGGCCCCAGCTCGCTCCCAGCTACCCTCAAACTTCTCCATCTCCGTCCTCGTTTCTGAGACCGTCGGAGTCGACGAGCTCTGGAGCAGCTGCCTGGACATCGTGGTGGTGAGCAAGGAGAGGATAACGTGCAGAATCCCAGCTGGACGGGGAGCGAGATCGATCCGCGTGAGGGTACAGGACGTGCTTCCTCTGGAGGACACGCTCTATGAGGCCCTCGTCTCCTACGAGACCATCTATGGAGGAACAGCCGTCGATCAACACTGCCAGGTCGACTTTCGTTTCTTCCTGTTGCAGCTGCACTGCCCCTCTTCTCTCCTCTCCTTCTCTCTCCCCCTTGTTCGCATCCTTCCTTCCCCCGCCTACACCTTGTCCCGCTGACCGAGCTCCTCTTCACTCCTACCCTCTCTGCTACTCCACTCATTTCTTTCCTTCTCTCCTCCTCTCCTCCTCCTTTCTCTTCTCCCCTCACCCTCTCTCCTCTCCCGCACTGATTCCTTCTTACTCACTCGCATTTCAGGCGTTTGGAGCTCCCTGGCCCCACCAGCAAGCGTACGATGAGTTCTGTGGCATGAGGGGGTTGCTGGCCGTCAGTCCAGCAGCCTTGCAGCAGCCGTCGAGTTTGTGGCTGTCGGGGATGAACATCAGTGGTACGGTGAGGGCGATCGCAACGTGGAACGACTTGCTAGTGGCTGGTGAGAATAAGTTTCAGCAAAGTGCTTTTCTCCTCCTCTACCTCCTCTTCCCTCCCCTCCCTCCCCTCCCCCCTCCTCAACTTTCCCCTGCCCTCTTCGTTCGCATCCTTCTCTCATGTTTTTCTTCTAGCTGGGAGTTTCTCCGTTGTGCAGAACGTGGAGGCCAGGAGCGTCTTTCTGTTCAGCTTCAGCTCTCGAGCAGTCGAGACTCTCGACCTCGGACTCGACGGTTCCGTCAGTACTATCACCCTCTCCTCCTCGCGTGCTGGGCTCCTGGCGGTCGGAGGAAGCTTCTCCTCTGTCTTTGCGAGCTTTGGAAGGATCAAGAGCGGAGGGTTCGCCTTGTATGACCTTGTGAACAGGTTTCCTCCTATCCTCACATAGATCCTCTTCCTTCACCTCCTGCTCCTGCTCCTGCTCCTGCTTCGCCTGCTGCTGCTGCTGCTGCTCCTCCTCCTCCCCTTCCTCCTTCTCTCGAATCCTTTCTGCATTCTGCCGTTCCTCGCCGCGCTACTCTCCTCCCCCTCGTCCTCAGATTTCCATCCTTCCTCTTCCCTTCTGACCCTCACTCAGATCGTGGATTTACGACACCGAGATCAACGTCGACGGGGTCGTTTCTGCCATCCTCGACGTCAACGGAGAATTCTTCGTTGCCGGCAGTTTCACACGAGCAGGAACCCAGAGCGCACGGAACATCGCCAAGCTCACCGGAGGAGGAGGAGGAGGAGGAGGAGGAGGAGGATCAAACTTCGTCTGGAGCTCTCTCGGTGCTGGGATACAGGGAGAAGTCTTGTCACTTGCCAGCGATCTTGAGGGTCGTGTTTTTGTTGGGGGAAGGTTCACAAAGGCAGGGCAGGAGGAGGTGCTCAACATCGCCAGATGGGATGGAGGAGGAGGAGGAGGAGGCTGGACTCCTCTACTCGATCCTCTGTGCCTCCGCAAGAGCCCCGGGGTCTGCGGACTCAACGGAGACGTTCTTGCGCTTGCTGTGGTGGGGGAGATGCTGTTTGCAGGAGGAAGCTTCAACATAGCGGGAGGGGCAGTGGTAGAGAACATCGCCATGTTCACTGCGGGGAAGTGGAGCAGCGTAGGAGGAGGAGTCAACGGCCCGGTCTACGGCCTCCGCTCGTTTTCTGTGCCCGGCACAACGTCAGGATTCTGCGTGAAGGTGGCTGGGAGTTTCTCAGAAGCAGCAGACGAGCGAGGAAAGATGCAGGTTGACGGCCTTGCCAAGTGGTGTGGAGGAGACCCGAGTCTGTTTGTTGAGTGGAGCGGAGGAGGAGGAGGAGGAGCAAGCGTCGCCAGGGAGTTCTGGGAGGCGATCGTGTCGCCCGTGCCGGGGGTAATCATCAGTGCGATCGGCGAGTGAGGCAGGGCAGAATTGCGCTGGATGTGTTTGTGATGTTGTAGAGGTGGAGAGGAGGAGGAACGATCATCATGGATCTGGTTGTTCTACCTCGACATGTTAAGATGTAAACTGTTGCACCATGTTCATCGTTATTGTGCCTTTGAGTTGCACTCCCTTCGTCTGACCTGTTGCCTCAAACTCAATCGCGACATGATAGTTCAAGTGATGCGAACCTCTCCATACATGGCGGACCCGACAAGAGACGTTAAAAGAAAAATGTTCGCCTGCCATGCCATCACACATCTACTCGGAGCTTGCTTCTGCCCTCCATTCCTCCGTCTCCTTCCTTCTTCTAGTCCTCCCTCCCTCCTTCCCTCCGCCTCATCCTCCCTCCCTCCCTGTCACTTTCCCACTCCCCCATCGTTCACTCACTCACTCTCCTTCCTCCTCCCTGACCCTCCTCCCACTACCCTTCCTCCTCCCTCTGACCCTCCTCCCACTTCCCTTCCTCCTCCTCGACTTGGGCATCATCGCTTCTCACCTGCAAGCTCGCATGCTGGTCCCAGATCAGACTGTTGAGGACGAGCGTGAGAAGCTTGTTGGCGTTCCCCATCACGTTGAACGACGTTGCTGTCACGTGCTCCAGACACAGGAACCCCAGGAACGAGATGGCCGTTCCTGCAGGCACGTAAGAGCTCCCTCCTTCAGCAGGGGAATGAAGGACCCCAGATGCAGGAGAGGAGGAGGAGCAGTATGCTCCAGCTGGTCAATTGGCCACGTGCAGTGAGGACATGGATGGTCTCGTGCTCTCCCAGCAGGAAGATGCCGGGCAAGAACACGAACAGCGTCCTGCAGAAGGAGGATAAGAGGAGCAGAGCGATGGGGGGACAGGTTGTGTGTAAGAGGAGAAGGGATGAGCTGCAGGAGCAGATGACGATGAATCAGGTTGTTGAAGGGAGCAGGCGAGGGGAGGAGGGAGAGGAGAGGGTGATAGTACATCAGGTTGTTGTAGAATGTTCTGTCCCAGGAGTTCATGTGCTGGTGCCTCCTGATCGCTACCTGCGCAGCCTCCTCAGACCGAGCACAGTGAACGTGACCGTCTCCGTCTCCTTCTCACCTGCGTGACGAGCGGGTACGCAGCGTTGGCGCAGCCATAGAAGAAGACCCAGAAGATGTTCTCAACTTTGAGACCCTTGTCGCTCATCACATACCTTATACAAGTTGTCAGATACTGTGAGATTCTCATTCACCTCCCTCACCCCAGGGAGCCCACGAGCACAAGGCAGAGGGTGCCGAGCATGTGAAAACTTAGAATCCGAGTCTGCAGTGGGAGGGAAATATCAGCTCCCCCCGCCCCCCCCCCTCGACTTCTTCTTCTTCTTCTCCTCCTCCTCCTCCTCCTCCTCCTCCTCCTCCCCCTCCTCCTCCCGTGCCTTCAACAGTCGGAAGTCTCCGTAAGCAGTGACGAAGAGCGACAGCGTGCGGAAGACAATGACGGCTTCAACGTTGGCAGCCTCGAGAGCCTGTCGGGGGTCAGAGGAAGCGCCGCGCATGCACGCCTTTCACCTTGGCGTTGGAGAAGAGCAAGAGCATGAAGGCCATGGCATTCCAGAAGAAACTCTTCGCTTTGCTCGCTTCGAACGGACTGACCTGTTGAGTCGTAACTCGACAGGAAGGTATAACACATCCCCCAGCACTGACTTGAATGGTTCCAAGTTTTCCCAGACACCAGAGAATGCTGGCAGAGGATCCAACCTGCTCACCCCTCAGATCATGTAGGTGAACTCCGAGTCGCCTACTTGGAGGACTAACACGGTCGTTGCGACGGGTAGTTGTCGCAGAACTGCCTGGAGGCGAGAAAATGAGACTGTGATGGTTGAGGCATGCCTTTCAGCATTCAACCTTATTTAAAATGAGCATCGTGGATGATACAAACATATGGCTGACAACAAGGAACAGGACAAAAGCTGCTGAAGCCATGGTTGCTTATCATTCACGTTCGATTTGGCGCGGTCGTGCTGCTCGAATACTTTCCGGCTCGCTGATCATATCATGGCAAGGTATCTGGAACCAAGTTCAACTCTGCATGTTCTTGTCACTTGTCACCATCCTCTCTCCTCTCCGCACTCTTTGCTCTTACCCGTCCTTCCCTTCCTTCCCTTCAATGGTGCATTCCAGGATTTTCGGGGTTGGCTTCGAGGAGGTGGGGGGTACCCGAATTCTGAGATAAAAGGGTGGGTAAGATACAGATATATTGAGGGCAGGGGTGCAATATAAAACTAATTGGGGTGGGGTAGTGTATTGATTGATGAGTTTGACTGCAGGAACCGCCCAGGTTGAGACTGACGCACTTGGCAAGAGACCATGAAGGATGCGAAGGAGAAGGCGATGGAGAGGTTTCTGTCATGAAGGATCAGGTAGAGGACAAGTGACTTGAGGAATGCATGACGATGATGAGGCGAAAGCAGGGGGTAGCGGGATGAGCAGAAAGTTGGGTTGGGTTTCATTAGAACATTGTTGATAAGACTATGGCTTGCTACGTGAAAGTGGAGGCAATACTCAGGTGTAATGGTAGAAATCTAGAGAACTTCTTTGGAGGAGATCGCTGTATGCGTAAGATCGTCCTGACTGACGCTCTGCGACGAAGTATTCCCTGCAAGCCATCAGGTCACCTGTCTATCCCCCAAGGATGTAAAATTCTCACCCGACGGATCTCCAATTTGGCGCCTTGGGCTTATCGACAATCGCAGTTCCTCGCTTCATGATTTCGTCTATAAAGCTCTTTCGAGTCCCGGGGGTTGTATCTTGCCTGCGTTGACATCAAAAGTTCGCTCCGGACGGTCTCGCGTATTCAACAACTTACTGCTCAGTTCTGTATGTATTTCTGCTCTCTGTGCTCTTGTGAATGGCTGTCATCGCGTTTTAGTGTGTGATTGCTCTTTGCTGTCTTCACCTTGCGGATTGGTGGCGTAGGGGGAATAGTCGTCAAATCTTTCGCCTGAAAGTGAAACATCAGCGCTGCATGACTGAAATCTTTGGGTTTGCACGACCAAGATCAACCAAGCTCTTGGTTTTATACTTGCCCCTGTAAAACTGTCCAGTCTTCTTGTGTTTCTTAGAATCGCCTGGTGGATAAAGGTCAAGGAGCAAAAGAACTTCTTTATCTCACCTCGTTCAACCAATGAGCTCGGGCCGTTGGCTGAGTCAAAGCAATCCGTGTATTTCGGCATCTCGAAGGGAAAACCCCTGTACAAATCATGACTGTTGTCTCTTCCGACATATTTCACAATGCCCACCTCTTGCAAACTTGCAAGTTATACTGCCCGGTAGGTCGATACACCGCAAGTCCTGGAATTCGTAACTTAGATTTCCACCGCTTCAGCTAATTCATCTTGCCGAACCTATTGTTGGATCGGGAGAGGGTCCAAGGTGATGACTTTGACGATGGGAGAAAGGAAAACCATGCTTAACCACGAGTGAGAAACATGAAACAGCAGATCGTTGAAAGGTTACTCTCGAAGAAACGTAGGTGGAAGACATGTCGGACATGGAAGAGCTGGATCAACCTCAAAATTGAGTTGAGGGCTTTTCCCTTCCATACCTGGAATCATTTCTTGCAATCAACGCAGGTTCTGTCCACTTCCTATCCCTGACAGCATGAAACGCGGGTTTGCCGATGTTGCCATGATTGATGCTTGAATCATCTGGGTGCTCATGATCCAGCAGCTTACTGTCCTCTGTCGATGTCGGCTGCTCCTTTACCTGAATCGAAATCGTCTTGACATGTCGCGAGTTTTTTCCTTGTTGCAACTTTTGAGATCTCATTGACCATGATGAATCTGACTGAAATAAGGATTGAAACTCATCTTCCAAGCTTTCTAAGTCTTCTGCTAAACAGGTGTAAGTGGTTATATACAACAGTTGAAAGGCTGATCATGGAAGTTCCAAATACCATCGAGTTGGCTTGTCATATCAAGATGCTGCCAGTCTATCAGATGTCTGTCGCTGTGTCTTGAAGTCTGAAGTTGTCTCCCTACATATTCCCGATAAGGTTTCAACTAAGACCATCAAATCCGTCATATCTCCTTTACAAACCTTCTGAGAGAGGCCGACGAACTTGTCTTCTTTCCATCTCAATCTCGAAACTGGTCGATGCAGCCTGAATCAGAAATCAATTTACATAAGCGCCATCAATGGATCAGAGGGTTCACACTTTTTCAAGCAGCGTCAATCTCTTGGGGTTCGGTGGATGTGGCGTTTGTATACCACTTTCCATGTAATCTTCTAGTTTTGTCATGTTAGAGAGCCATCTACTGGTGTAGATCTAACATTCATCACACCTTGAGTGGATTTTGACCGATCCGAGAGCGGGTTGAAATTCTTGTGTTGATCCTCTTCGCTCTCGAGCTCGAAGTTCTCCATAGTCCTTTCTTTCTCCAATCGGACTTGATTTAAGATGTTGGCAACAGCTTCAGTGATATCCATCTTGGATCGTTTTGGAGTAACTTTGCACTGCAAAACTGTAGTCGGGCGTTCAATCACAACAGTTGATTCATCATGCCAGTCTGAGCCCTCGTCCGAACGATCTGCGTGGTTCATCCAGTTGGCCATGAGGAAGCTGTCCTCGTCCTCGTCGTCCTCCTCCTCCTCCTTTCGAGGCTTTCCGCTTTTCAAGTTTGGCATTTTGACCGGTGTGAGTCCAGAAACGACCTGCAGACCCTCATCCCCACGCATTCAATGAATCATCGCCCTCATTCTCTACCACTCTCAACTTTTTACTCACTTGATTCTGCTGGTAGTAACTGACTTGAATCTTTGAGGCTCATACTGTAATCCGAGGTCTACTTTCGCACCATGGGGTTATTGACTTGCATAAGAGTTTTACACGATGAGTTGAAAATAAGAATTTTCTAAATTTATATTTCAAAGTTGAATGAAATATTTGAAGTTTCAGTTTCTTGGGACTCGGGGAGCCCTGTACCTTCTCCTGAATCAGGGAGTACAAGCAGTAGGCACCGTCGACATCGTGACAGGCTGATTGTGATATGATACACGCCGGCATGCAGGGGCTCCGAAGCAGAAGCGCGGTGAGAGTTTGATCCTTGGAGATCATGGCAGATTCTGCCACAACAGGCTAAGGCATGGAGATGAAAATGGCCAAGGCAAAACATCTCCTTCTCCTCATCAGAACTTGCCTCCGATTCAAACTGAGTGAAATCTGATGCCCTTCAGCGGTCTACAGGACAAGCAGGCTCAGGCCATGCCAGGCATGAAAAACACATCGATCAGGCAGAGATCGGTCTCTCCGAAGCGACAGACATCGCATAGTCCGATCGATGATGATGATGATGATCTCATCTCAGCAAAAAGGAAGAGCAGGAGCAACAGCGTGCTGTCTTCTCTACCTGCCATGAGCGAGAAGCGGAACGAACGGAGGTCTGTGAGTCCCATCCTGCCGCGCGGTCAGAGTAGAGCCGGGATGATGACGTCGTCTTCGTTTGCTGCTAGACGCCAAGAAAAGCTCTCCTCAGACAACATCGCAGACTTTTCTCCTGATTCTGAGGAGCAGGATAGCAAGAGTGAGTTCTTTCCCTCCCCTCCCCCCGGGGAAAGAGACGAGAGCAGCCCGCTGTCCGTGAAGGAGGGCGATGAGCAGAAAGCTCCCCGACGGAAGGTGGGATATTCCAAACCCAACAGATCTCCCGATGAAGTCGGATCCTTCCGCAAGCCTTCCTCCGATGCGAGGGTGGCGGTGCTGGAGCAGAAGTTGAAGGACGTTCAAGAGCAGCTCAAGGAAGCGAAGAAGTTGGCGTCAGCTGCGAGACAGGCGGAAACAGCAGCGATCTCCAAGTTGAGGCAAGTGGAGCATGAACAAGCTCACATGCTGAAGGAGAGAGATGCCAAGCTCCTTGCGTTGCAGCAGAAATTGAATGATATGACGGGCCTGAGTGAAAACAAGTTCGAAGTTTCGAAAGAAGACTTCGAAGGTTTCCGAGAGAAGCTGACCACTGCGAACAATGTTATAGCCGCGTTGAAATCAAAGTTGGGTGCTCTTCAAGAGCAGAAGACGGCACTGGAGCAAACCTTGAACAGTAAGAGTGAAGAGTGCGAGATGCTGAAGCGCAGAACGGACGATGTCAGTACCGAATCGCAGCAAGACAGAAAGAGCTTCTCGTTGGCCAAGGACAAGTTGGCGTTGACAATCGCCCGGCAAGAAGCGCTGCAAAAAAGCTGGGATGCAAAAAGGGCAGAGATGGAAACCAAACTGTTAGAGAAAGACAAGAAGCTTGATGAACTCAAAGGAATCGTCTCGTCCAAAGATAAAGAAATCCTTGATCTCAAAGATGAAGTTCTTCGAAACCTCTGGAAACCGGATTCTTCCAGCCGATCTACTCAGACCGAGCGCTCAGTCAATAAGTGGTTATGGCTACTGACACTGAAAATAATGACGATGAATGAAAGGGACATGACACGGGACACAGCATCACAGACAGAAACAGTCCGTATTGATGGAGTTGTCACAGGCAAAGCCAAATTGGTGACAAAGTCAACGATGACTGCAGTTTCCACTCAAGATGATACTTTGTCGGAACAAGATCAGTGGTGGAACGAGATCTTGAAAAGATGCGAGCAGGAAGTTAGAATTTTTGACTTGAAGCGGGAGATACAAATGCCAGAACAGCAGCTGTTGGTGCAAATATCTTCAATCTATGCCGAGAAAGCTATCATCGACTTCATCGACCGGCAGAAAGAGCGGCCACTACAAAACATGCAGGAGTTTCTCTTCATGTACTTTTTGAGAGAGTGCAGGGGAAGGCAAAAAGCTGAAGTGGCCTTGGTTCGCCTTCTCACAAACATCCTCATCAAGGTACGAGGGAGGGAAAAGAAATCAGGCGCTCGTGAGATACCTCGAAGTGCATACCGGCACAGGATAGGGCTCTTTGCAAGATTCCTGGGATTTGATTTCATGGAGGAATCACGCAACGGAGTCAAGGTAGAGAAGCACTCTATATCGCTTGATGGCCTGGAGGTTTTCTTGAACACATTAGTGTTAGCTAGGCAGGGTATCTGCCCATTGCTGGAGTCTGGGATGAGGACGATTCAGGTTAAAACAAGGGAATTCTTGGCAGCGTTGGATTATGTCTTCTCGAATCTTACTGCTGTAGAGCGTGAGCGTATCAAGACTGACATCTACGATTCGCTGAATGTCGGGGATGAAATGGACCTTGAGGCTGGCCTGGAGACGGTGATTGAAGAATGGTTGGACATGAACTATCGCATGGACTCTCGTCTAGAAGCCCTCTTTGTGGCCGCCGATGTTGCAGGGGATGGCGATGTGGACTGGAGCGAATTTCAGTCTTTGGTCAAGCGTTTGGACGAAGATCACATTTCAAACGATGTCCTGCGACAACTCCGAATCTACACAAAGATTTATATGTGGCCTCGTGTGGATTCAGGTGTGTTCTGCAAGGTTGCTCGCGATCACGATTTGTCCAACATCAAGATCAGTCCAGACTTTGAGAGGAACGCTATGCAGTCTCCAGAGCTAGAACGTAGCAGCAAGCGTCTTCAGCCACTGTTTCGAGCCACGTCAGAGGCGATCAAAGAGAATCTTAAGAAGATTTCCAACCATCCGATGTCTCCTGACCTTTTCTACAAATGGGACTTGTGCGAGCGAGTCATGAATGAGAAGAAGTACCCGGAGATGGCTTGGGTCATCTTCCATCAATCCTCCCGCAGCTTGACACAGATACTCAAGGAAGTTCAGACCAATGAGGAGGACGAGGAGGACGAGGAGGAGGAAGCAGCGGAGAAACCTTCCTCTCCTTCGTCATTTCTGCGCGCTGCATCAAGTCCTCGACGGCTCTCGCCCCTTCGGTCCCCTCGGAGATCAACCTCACCCATCAATCGCAGAACCTCAGTGGCAGTGGATCCCAAGGCAGAAACAGAAAAAGCTGAACAGCTGGTCGAGTCCCTAAGGAAGAAGTCTAGCCCGCGGGCTCGATTCGCTAGCACGAGCGAGGTAGAGGACGATGACCAGGTGAAGAGAAACCAGTTAGAACGAGCTCCGTCAGTGGGCAGGAGAATGTTGCACGGCAAACTAGCCTCAGACTTCTGACCTCGGTTACTTCCTGCTTCTTCGAACCACGGCGAATCATCTGTGTAAATAAACATTGCGAGCGTGGTGAATAAAGAGGATGGTCGTTGATTCTTTTTCTTGCGTTTATTCTCGGACATGCTCTAAAACTTATCATGCACAGCACAAGCAAGCATGCTGAAAGCACGATCGGAGAAAGTCACGTGCCCTGTTGCACCACTACTCAACGGGTAAGACGAAATCAGGATGATGATCTGCAATGTACTGCGTGATTTCGTTGACGGCCATGCAAGCTCCAGCGATCTCGCTATCCCAATTCTTGATCGCGTCGGAACCATGCTCGAAGTATATCATTCCGTCTATCTGGTCGATGTTGCCTCCAATGCGATCCTCCAGAATCATGTCTCGAGCTATCTTCTCGGCCTTGTCAGGGTCAACATGCAGGAAGAATCCAAGTTCTTTGAACGTGATATTCTTGTACATCTTTGCAGCTGCAAACAAGTTATGCTCAATCATCGCCTTCTGCAGCACTGTGAAGCCGTCTGAGGTTTCAGCCATCTGGTGCGGTCTCAACTCTTTCTGGAACTCTTCGATCTCAGGCGCACGGACAACGCGTTCAAGGTAGATCTTCTGCAGCATGTTGAAGGTCTTGACCTTGGATGTCCTCTCATCCTTGTACAGCATCGCCAGCGTTCGAGAGCGATCAGGGCCAGCAGGAGCAAGGACAACACAGATCGCAGCCTTGTTCAGCGCATCTAAGTTCTGTGTTTCTATCATCTCGTCAATGTTTGAAAGTTTTGCTGCTTCCTCGCCCATCACTGCAAGGACCGTGGCCTTTCCAACCTGAGACAGCTCGTAGTAATGCCTCGCCGCATCCAGAAACTTGCGCTTCGCATCGTAGATCCTGGCACGGCAAGCCTGATGCTGGAACTTGACTTGCAAGTTCGTGAAATCCGGTTTGCCGATGATGTTGTGAGAGCGGTGGACGAAGGCTTCCGCAGAAATCTCATTGTCGTCCTCCAGGTACAACATGGCGATGCGAACATACATCTTTGCCTTATACTCATCGGATATGTTTCTCTGGCTCGATGTGAGCGGGATCTGAGAGAGCACGTCTGCCGCACCCTTCCAGTCTTCCTCACCCTGCAGAATATCGGCCATGTGTTCACTGGCCATGCTGAATTGTTCCTCAAAGGAAGATAATCTAGCTTTCAGTTTTGCCAAACACAGATTCCCAAGCTCTTTCTTCTGCGCCGGAGTCAACGTATTGCACGTAAACACGAAATTCACAAAGTCCTGGAGAACCTGACGGGAGATCATGGTCGGAACAGCCTCTCCCGAAGGCGGTGGGTCCTCAGCCATTCGTGACAAAAAGAAATGCAAGGAATCCATGCACGGATTTGCAAATAGTTTTTCAGCCAACTTCTTGTACTCATCGATTTTCTGTGCATGAGTCGAAATCTTCTCAATTGCATCGAGCTGTGATGCAAGATCTGACATCTCTCAGCTAGATGGAACGAAAGAGTCTGGTTTCCTCGAAGATCTTAATCCGTTCGCCTGCTGTTTATTTCTGGGCTGCGTGTATGCCTGCCCCTGTGAGAACCTCTCCCGTTCGATCTCGTCGGTGATCCTTCCACCTACTGTCTTCTCTGCTTGTTATACTCTTCAGAGAATGTATGTCCTTCGATTCGCTCTCCTTCTGCTTCCTCTCCTTCTCTCTCTCCCTCCTCCTCGTCCCCTTCTAGAAGGAGGTGCGCCGCATGGACAGGTAGGCGTCGGTTACAGCACGTTATGATCGACTGAGGCCTCAGAGCGGCCTTCCACTCTGACTCGGACCGGTGCGCCGACTCGCGGCTCAGTGACGGTCAGTGGCCGGCAATGTGACGGGCCGGGCTCAGACTTGGGACTCCGGGAGCCCGGCCCGGCCCGCCTATCACACAGTCCCGGTTCCGGGATAACTTATTAATCGTGACTTCGAGTTAAAAAGATCAGAGAGGGCCTGCCAGTGTGACGGCCACCGTACCGTCTCGCGGCCCCGGGCCGCCCCCCCGGGCCCCGGCGGCCCCCCCCCCCCTCCGTTGCTGACTCGGTGACTCTGGATCACGCCGGTGGCCGTCATGATGATCACCTCAGTGACTCGGACTCGGACCCGCCGCCGGGCCGGCGGGTGGCCCGGCCCGGACTCACTGACGGCGGTTGCGAAGCCTGGCGTCACCGTCCGCACCGGGCCGCCGGTGGCACCGCGCCGCGGCGCGGCCCAACTCCGGCGTGTACCGCACGGCCCGGTTGACTCAGTCGGACTCCGTGTCACTTCTGCCCCACAGAGTTTACTCAAAGTTAAGTTAAAAATCATTACGTGGACAATCATCAGGAGGCCACCAGGGCGGGCCTGGCAGAATGAAAGTTTATCTTGATATTTCTGTTGAAATATTTTATAAAATGTTTGAACTTTGATCGCACGATTTAGCCATATTGATTGAAAGTTCTCCATGGGAGAACTGAGATGTCGAAAGATATTTCCATGAATTCGACCAAATTCTGTAACTGTGTCTTGATGAGAAATTGAAATTTGAATATTAGTAGGTAATATTATGAAAATAATTTCAAAAATACCCTGCTCGGTAATGCAGGGCTGTCCCTGCCACATTCTATTTCCGCCGAAAAGAATAATCCAATATGCTCTCAGTTTTTGTTTCTTCACCACTCCACATCTGTTCTACCCCTATTTTCCCACCAAAATACCTATAAAGTACCGGTGTTAATACAGCACTAACTTGCTCCAGAAATAATAAAAAAAGAACCTCATAGCCGCTAGGACCTGGATAGCAGCGACTGAAATGCTGGTTACAATCGGGTCCCCTTTGGGGTCAGGGTACTCCTAGTTGGAAGACGGAGTCTTTGGGTAGGGTGATATTGATGGCAAAATACTTCGATGCCCCCCAGCCAGACACGAGTACCGGTACTTTTCTAATTTTCCATCGGGACATGGCCCACGTAGGGTACCTGTCTCCGAAGGGTCATTCTGGTTCCAGTGGGTCCCCTCTCAAAGTAGGGGTGAAGGAAGGACGAGTGAGAGGAATTTCATGGGGTGGTATTTGCAGCGTGTATAGAAAGGGGTGGTTGATGACCGGGTGGGTACAAACTGTTTGATATTAGGGGTACACCATCTGATGCTATGGTTGGGGGTGATTGATGGAATTCACACGGGTACTTAGAGAGGCAAGGAGGGGTAAGGGGGGTTGAAAATACAAGGTGGATGGGGAGATGGGGTACCAATAGGGTGGATGTAAGGGGTAGGTGCCCGACAATCAGGGGCAAATATCCTCCATGATGGGGTAGGGGTAGGGGTAGGGGTAACGGTGGTGAGGAGGTAAGGGTGGGTGGAATAGGTGACGCTGCTAGTCCCCGCGCTGCGTCAGCGATGCCGACCGAAGCGAAGACAGGGAAGGTGAGATGCGCCGATGGGGAGAGACAATGCATAGAACGAGAAGTTTTCTCATACCATTGGATATGGTTCCCCATCCTCACAACTTTTGCACTTGTTGATGTTGGAAACGAAAATTGTGCACGAGGAAAGTGTTCGGTCTCGTGGCATTTTTTGTCCTTTGATCCTTTGTCTCTAAAAGCGACGAGTTGATGTAAATGTTGCTTCCTCCTGTTTAATCCAGACAATGTATGGAATTTTGATGCCGAAATGCATTTTTCTTGTGCTATCCTGGAACAATAAGATGTCTGACTTCGATTCCAGCGTTACGAGAAGGTCGGCCAGAGTGAATCTGAGTCCGACTGGTCTCGTGATGAGAAGAAGGAATACTCCCAGGATGAAGGAGAGACCGATGTTGAGCTCTCTCAGGTAGTGCGAATTCTCCAATTTATGACTTGAGTCTTGACGTGATGCTTTGCAGCAAGAGCAGGAAGATGAGCAACCTAAGCAGATTACACCTCTTAGGTTGCTGCGCTTCGGCAAACCTGAGCTCCCTTTGGTCATTTCCGCCACCTTCCTTTCGGCAATTTGTGCCTTCCTTAACATGTCTCAGAACTTCTTCGTCGGGTGGCTTGTTGACATCGTTCGTTTCTCCGACTTGTCGATGCGTCAAGACCAGCTTAACTGGATCACTTTCGTGCTCTTGGCCATCTACATTGCCGATGCATTGTTGGCTCTCTTTTCGGGGGTCCTGTACACGATTGCAGCTTCCCGTTGCTCTTGCCGCCTGAGGTCTTTGGTTTTGAGAAACATGCTTCGCCAGGATGTGGCTTTCTTCGACACTGTCCGCATTGGAGAGCTCCTCAATCGTCTTTCGACCGATACGGAAGTTATCCAGTCTGTTGTTACTTCGAACTTGGTTGGCTGGTTCATTCCCTCCGTCCAAGTTATTATTGGATTCGTCATCTGCTTCTGGTGAGGAGCATCTGCATTGTATCGACATAGATTGGATCTAACTCTCTTCATCAGGTATTCTTGGCAGTTGACTTTGGTTATTCTGTCGGTCACCCCAGTGATCTTGATTGTGATGTTCCTTCAGGGAACTTGCATGAAAGTTCTCACTGAGCAGGAGCTTTCGGCTCTTGCCGGTGCTGGTTCCAAGGCTGCTGAAGTGCTTGACAACATCCGTACTGTGAGGTCGTTCGTTACTGAGGAGGCGGAGATTCAGAACTACTCTGACAAGATCAATGTGTCTTACTTCGTTGCCAAGAAGCGTGCATGGATCTCTGGTGGTTTGGGAGCAATCTCTTCGATGGCTTCTGATGCATGCATCTTGCTTGCTCTTTGGTATGGTGGTCAGATGATTTTCGCTGGTGTGATCACTACTGGCGATTTGATCTCTTACATGCTCTTCGCTCTTCAGACTGTGTTCGCTTTCCAGTCTCTTTTGTCGATTTTCCCACAGTTCATGGAAGCTATTGGTGCTTCAGTGCGTGTGTTTGAGCTGCTCGACCGTGTTCCACGTGTGAATTACGATGGTGGTATCATCCCTCCCCATGGCATTGAGGGTCGTGTGACCTTTGACAACGTCCATTTCCATTATCCCTCCCGTCCTGATGCGGAGGTTCTTGATGGAGTCAGCTGCGATGTCGTTCCTGGCAAGACCATGGCTATTGTCGGACCTTCAGGATCAGGAAAATCGACTGTCATCTCCCTTGTTTCGCGCTTCTATGATGTTGAGAAGGGTCGCGTGCTTGTGGATGGAGTTGACATCCGCACATACGATCCCCAGTGGCTGAGAATGCAGATTGGTCTCGTTTCTCAGGAACCGGTTCTGTTTGCTATGTCCATTGAGGAGAACATCATGTATGGAAGTGAGGGAGCAACCATGGCGAACGTACAGAGGGCTGCCAAGATGGCGAATGCGCATGACTTCATCATGCGTATTCCTGATGCGTACAAGTCTCAGGTGGGAGAGCGTGGTGTTATGCTTTCAGGAGGCCAGAGGCAGAGAATTGCCATTGCAAGGGCTGTTCTCAAGGATCCCAAGATTCTTCTTCTCGATGAGGCCACCTCTGCTCTCGATTCTGAGAACGAGAAGCTTGTGCAGGAGGCTTTGGACAGACTTATGGTTGGCCGTACATCCATCGTGATTGCACATCGCTTGTCTACCATCGTCGATTCCGATCAGATCGTCGTTCTTCAGAATGGCCGCATTGTCGAGCGTGGCACCCACGACGAGCTCATTCGCATGAATGGTGTGTACAAGCGTCTCGGACGCCGCCAGTTCGGTCTCAAGAGTGGCAAGGGAGATGAGCCAACCTCCAAGATTGCCAAGGAGGATGCTGCGGCACAAGACATGAGCTCTGCTGTCGAGCTGATCCGCCGAACACTCCAGCAGCGCCGCAGGAACAACAACGTGCAGCACATGGCTGCCCGTGTCCAGCAGATGCGCACTGAGCCTGAGCGCCTCAAGGTCTTGGTCCGAGATCTGCAGACCATGGAGACCAAGTTCCAAGAATGTGTTGACAAGATTAAGGTTCTTGCTAAGGGCGGATAAATCTGCCGGAACTGAAAATTGCCAGTCAACTCATTCAATTTGCTCATTGGGGGGTTGGCGAGCACGGTGGCATGCTGCTTTGCTGGGGTGAACAAGCTGATATCAAGCTGCTAAAGATCGAAAATCATATCTTCAGATTCTTTTTGGTTAATGGTTTGATCTCTATGGATGTTGAGATTTTCTTGCCAAGCGTATTATGCTAGGGGATTTCAGATCTTGAGATGTTATGTGTAGGACAGTTCGTGTAGATTTCGTTCATGAATAAATCAATGGAACAACTCTTGCTCCTTCTGTCTACATTTCGAATCGGATCGCCTGTGAAGACATCCTGCAGCGACTGGAGCCAGGACAGACTTGCACAGAGTCCGCCTCATGTTTTTTAAATCATTTTATCATTTAGTTAGTACATAAGTATTTTACTTATTATCGAAATAGAAGCATTATGTTATGGTCAAGCAATAAGTCCGTCTTTTTAATTTAATTATATTGATTTACAACTGTATGATACACTCAGCAGAGTACCTATCTGTTTTTTTTGTAAAACTTTATAACACCACGATAGTACTAATGAGTTATTATCTAAAAAGTCTTGTTTCGGCTCAATGGTTGATTCAGCAGCTGAGAGAGGCCGAAGGGGCAATGGGATGGTGTGTTGACGGCGGTGGAGGTTCAGAAAAGAGAGGAGGATGCAGGAGGAGAGAGATAGGAGAGGGATGGGGGGAGGAGGAGAGATGGAGAGATAGAGAGCTTAGGAATGCGAGGGAGTAAGGGAGAGTTGTCAAGTAGACAGGGAGGACAAAAGCAAAATCAGGTTGAAAGCAGCTTCGTAAGTCTGGAATTCAAGACAGTCCCAGTGATTACTACTTTGAGCAACATCTCTGTTGGTTTCTAATTGCTCTCAGTTGTTACAGATCGGCGAGGCCTTCTTCACCATTTTTTGATTGTTGACACAGCAATCATCCTGTCCTGCCTCTACACGGTTTATTTCCTCCTTGCTGTGTGTGAGTTCACCCTAGCATGGCTGGTTCATCATTGACACCTTGCATCCAGATGCAGACATTAAAGTGAAGTGGCAACGTTAAACTCTCCTCTCTCAACATGAGCAGGTTCAAGCTCGCTCTACACAAATTCGTGAAGTTTTAACCTCATACCCCACTCATCTGCCCCTTGCAGCATGGAGGACTTCTGGCTTGATGCCTGCGTGGCTGCATGGAGGAATGAGACGCATCCTGTCGAGAGGTAGATTGTTTGAGTATGTTCGCTGCAAGAGAACTGACAGCCGAATCAGATATTTGGCTGCTGGCGGCAACGCGATGCGGAGAATGAGGGTAGCAACTTCGCTGCCTTTGTTTGTTGTTGCCTGATACTGTTGCAAGGATTCTGAAGTAGCAACCTTAAATGCCAAATACGACGTGGAGTTCTTCTCCCCAGGACTGGATCTTGTCAACATCGCCCTCCAACAGGATAGTCAGGTTTGATTCAGTTCCATCCGGTGGAAATGGAGTTTCATTCTTACCGCAGGACGTCTTGCTACTTCTCCTTCCCAAGGACGCCATTCAGCCACAGCCCACTGTCACCGTACTCCAGATGCCACGTGTTCCTCGAGGTCTGAGACATGCCCAGGGGAAGGAAGACGTGCGACAACTCTGGCTTGAAGCTTGCCTGGTGTGTAGAGCTCTGAGTGACAGTGTACAAGGCTGTATTCGTAACGCATCATGTCAGGCGTGCATGAATAGCGATCTCATGCCCATCCAGAAATATGTCAGAGGAGGTTGATCGTGTGCAACATGAGTACTGGCGGTTCATGATGTTGGAATCAGGAGGCTCGGTCAGCAGGAGACTGCTTGCAAGTGAAGCGAAGGAGTTGAATAGGTAGAGCTTGCTTTATGGTGGGTCCTCTTTGACTCGAACTCATGCAGGAACTTTCCGAATTGTTTCAACGAGGGAGAGACCCTAGCAAACTTGGCTTTGAAGTGGGACAATGAGGCGGTGAGGGTTCGGACGTTACCCAAAAGTTCATGACCGGTCTTTGAAAGGTTCTTTCTCTCGTCCTCGCCAACGTATCGGAGGGGTCAGACAAGAAGGATTCAGATGTGAATTCACGGGCGCAGGAGGAGGTGGGGGAACAGTCGCTGTTTGGCTCGCAGAAGACACAAAACGATCACAAGGGTGAAGGGAGGGACCTGCGGCAGACGCAGGAAGAGTGTGAGCAAGCAGGTATTCCTTACATAGCAGCAGATTACAACTATCGTGACAACAGGTCAGATTTGAGTGAGAGATATGCAAGAGCTGATGTTGAGGCAGGAGTGATGCGGTTGGCAATCACCAGCTGAGAAGACTTTGGCTTCAAGCTTGTCTGGCCGCCTACGACAACACAACCAACCCGATCACTGCCTACCTAGAAGCTGGGGGTGAGAGGAGCCGATCCTTAACCAATCAGGACATCGAGTACCTGCAGATGAGCGGCTGTTTGAGAGTGAGAGTCACGATCTTTCGTCGATCGCTTCATCTCGTGACCTCTTCGCCGCAGGTGGGAGAGACTTTAGTGGATATTGCGCTTCGTCGAGATAGCAGCCAAGCGCTCGCATGCGTCCTTGGAGAAACCTTCGTCCCTCAGAAGAAGATCTGTAGCCGAGACTCCAACTACTCAGATCAGTTGAGGTCGCAGCCTCGTGCTGACCTCGACAGTCTTTGGCTGGATGCGTGCACTGGGGCAGTCTTGGGCGAGAAGGACAAGATCATAGCCTACGTCAAGAATGGAGGAGAACTTGGGAGGCGCCTCAAGGCGGAGGAAGCGACGCTTGTGAACGAGGAAGGAAACATCGTCGCCTGCTCGGGCTCAGTGCGTGCGCGTGAAACGCTTGTTGACATAGCGCTGAAGTATCAGAGGAGTGACATCATCAAACTGCTATGTTCAGATGTTGTCCCTGATTGTGCTCGCAAGAGGCTGCCATGTCATCAGTTCGTCATGGAGGCTTCAGCCATCTCTAAGGAAATCAACGCCAACCTTGAGCTCTCGGTGGGCTCGGGTTTGACCAAGGACATGCCTTTCTTCCAGCTCAACTTCGCCATTCCCCGCGAACTTCAGACTCTGCCTCACGACGTCAGGACTCGTGCCCTCAACGAGATCATTGACTGCGAGGCGCGCGAGACTCTTGAGGACGAGAACGAGCCGGTTATCAACTGGTGCCCTGCGCTGCTGCCACAGCACAAGCTGCATCCTCTCTACAACGGAGGGATGGGAGACTGCCTCCTGCACAGCGCTTCTCTTGTGCTGGCTGGGATCGAAGACAGGAACATGGCGTGGCGAGCATCCCTCGTGCGTGTGATGAAAACGTTCGACCTCTACTCCCGATGGAGAGAGTTCAGAGCGAGGGAGGCGGCGCTGTTGGGTTACCACGCGGAGGACTGGCAGTGGAAGAAGGAGTGGTCCGAGCTCGTACGGATAGCTGGCTCCCCCAAGATGTCGTTGGAACAGACGCACGTGTGGGCTCTGGCCCACCTGCTCCGGAGGCCGATCATCGTGTACGGAATCCAGAACATTCGCAACCACCGCAACGAGATCTTGGGACACGCAGGTCACCAGGGGATCTACATCCCCTTCCTGCTGGATAAGAGCGAGTGCTGTACGGACCCCCTTGCTCTTGCCTACGTCCGCGGACACTACCTGGGGCTGGTCGGAGAGGAGAAGGACCCTCTTACTCCCACGACCATCCTCCTCCCCATCACGATGCACAACGGGCAGCGGCTACCGGTGCAGTACCTGTATGACGTGGAGCGGGGGAGCGAAGCGTCCATCATCCGCGAGTGGCTGCGATGTCGCGCTGTCAATGGCGTTGCGTGCGTGGAGCAGAGCTACAACCCGAGGGCATCGAGACCGGAGGCCTGCCAGGCGCTGATGAGGAGGTACGTGGAAGACGTCCACCAACGTATGACGAACCCCAGAGACGAAGAGGAGGGGGTGGGGGCTGACACCATCGTTGAGGCTACTCTCTAGTGCTCCTTGTAAGGCTAGTGTGTTGTTTATCTCTTATAGTACATCCAGTGATTGTTTAACGGCCCATCCTCCTCCCTGCCTCACCAGTCCTCTAGCATCTCCTCCTCGCTGCTCCTCACAAACCTTGACACCCATCCCCCCTCTGCCCCTATCCCGTCCTCCCCGCAGAAAGCCCCCTCCTCCCCTGAGCTCGGCCGGACCTCCTCGAGCGGCGGCTGCTGTTCGTCTTGCCCGAGCTCGGCCCCGGCCATCTCCTCCTCCGAGTCTGCTCGCGAGGGAGAGCGCTGGGGCGGGGAAGGAGACGGCGGGGAGCCGCCGGCCATGCGTGCTGCTCTACTCCTGTCGTAGGGCCAGCGGGCGAGGCCGAGGCGACGGCAGGCAGACTTGAGGCTGGTGAGGGACAGGCCCTGCATAAAGACACGGGGCGTCAGGGAGAGCAGGCTAGGAGGATGGGAGGAGCGAGGGGGGAGGAGCGAGGGGAAGATAGAGGGCAAGAAGGTAGAGGGAAGAAGGGGAGGACGTACGAGGTGGCGAGCGGCGTCGTGCTGGCGCATGGAGAAGAGGGGGGCGAGGTCAGGGAGGGTGAGCTGGACGGCACGAGGGGAGCCGAAGGAGGGGTCTTTAAGGACCCGAGCATATACGGTGACGGAGAGAAGCAGGGGAGGAGGAGGGGGAGGAGGAGCAGATTGTGGGAGAGGGAGAGGGTCGGTGCTGATGGAGTTGGAGGCAGGAGAGGAAACGATCGAAGCTTGCATGGCGCGATGTCTTCGCAGGGAACAGTCGAGGGTGTCACGTGACACTCGTATCTCTTTACAAGTGTTTTAGAGGGAATCAAAAAGCTTCAAGCTACCCCCCACCCCCCATTTCCCACGAAAGTGACCCCATGGCGGGAAGAAATGGGCAAGATATGAAGCACTCAGGCATGGAGGAGGGCAACATGGACGAGCTCTTTTAGTTTGTTGCCTCGACAAGCTTGAGGAGTCAGAGACGTGAAGATGCTCTCAACCATGAGAACACTTCACTGCTGTCCCACCCGATATTGTCTTTCCCTGGTGTGAGAGTGTGAGATTTACAAGGGGTTAACTACAGCTATCCAATTGATTGAACCAATTGAATGGGACAAGACAAGTCCATGATAGAAGAGCCACTCGTCACAGTCTCCCATCCTCCCACAGCTCAGACCCGTCTCCTGATGTATCCTTGTAGTGTGAATCAAGTAACTTGAACTCTCCCCATACATGAACTTGTGTGTAGGAAGACTCACACCTGGACACCCAAGACAGTGACAGAAAGACAGTCGGATTGTGCATGGATAGCGAAGAAAAGAGACAGCAAGCACTAAAGGCAGCCGTGCGATTCGTATACAATAGCTAGTCCATGTGGCTCAGGCGGCACAAGGTATTCAGCGATGCTGTCCAGGTACAAGGTAGCTTAGGTTTGTGAAGGTTTATTCTGTTCTTAAAAGAGTTGTTGTACATTCTCTACATATCTTGCACAAGAAGCACACCGTCATCACGATCTCATCAGCTCACTCGAGGTAACCTACACTGCTCAAGCTCTGCAGCAGCGTCTTGCACAAGAAGCACACCGTCATCACGATCTCATCAGCTCACTCGAGGTAACCTACACTGCTCAAGCTCTGCAGCAGCGTCTGGAGCATCTATCGCTGTCGCATGCCCCATCGTTCTGATCTGCATCTGTGCCCCCAGCCCGCCTCCTGCCCCTTGCCTCACCAGTCCTCGAGCATCTCCTCCTCGCTGCTCCTCACAAACCTTGACACCCATCCCCCCTCTGCCCCTATCCCGTCCTCCCCGCAGAAAGCCCCCTCCTCCCCTGGGCTCGGCCGGACCTCCTCGAGCGGCGGCTGCTGCTCCTCTTGCCCGAGCTCGGACCCGGCCATCTCCTCCTCCGAGTCTGCTCGCGTCTCGGACCCCGAGATAGACGCAGAGGGAGAGCGCTGGGGCGGGGAGGGAGACGGCGGGGAGCCGCCGGCCATGCGTGCTGCTCTGCTCCTGTCGTAGGGCCAGCGGGCGAGGCCGAGGCGACGGCAGGCAGACTTGAGGCTGGTGAGGGACAGGCCCTGCATAAAGACACGGGGCGTCAGGGAAAGCGGTGGGCTAGGAGGATGGGAGGAGCGAGGGGGGGAGGAGCGAGGGGAAGATAGAGGGCAAGAAGGTAGAGGGAAGAAGGGGAGGACGTACGAGGTGGCGAGCGGCGTCGTGCTGGCGCATGGAGAAGAGGGGGGCGAGGTGAGGGAGGGTGAGCTGGACGGCACGAGGGGAGCCGAAGGAGGGGTCTTTAAGGACCCGAGCATATACGGTGACGGAGAGAAGCGGGGGAGGAGGAGGGGGAGTGGGAGGGGGAGGGGGAGGGTTGAAGAAGGTGAGAGGGAGAAGGGCAGGGGGAGGCGAGGAGGACATGGGGAGCTTGACGAGTACACCGTGGCGAGGGGATGGGCAGGAGAGAAGAGCCGAGGTGAGGAGACTCCGGAGAGGGTGGATGATATGAATCCGTAGAAGCGGAGAGTCAATGGATGCGATTTAGCAGGATAGGACTCATGTCGCAACGGTTGGGTGTCGCCATGGGGAATAGCTCTCATGTCGCACGCTATGGAATAGCTCCCTTAGTCTTAATTTTTATTGTATTATAGGCGTCAGACGCCGCTTTAACACGTCGGTTGGCGTCAGGATATGTTTTTAAAACTCGACTAGCCCGCTAGACTACAACGTCATGTCATGAGCCGCCGATGTAGTAATAATAACTAGATCTTTTAGTTATTACTACAACGGCGGCTCATGACTCATACAGCACCCACGGCCCCTCATACAGCTCATTGAAATATTACTTATTACTAGCTTATTGAAATATTTGTTATTTGCTCATCAAGCGGCAGCACGTGCATCGCCAGAACGAGGGCTGCCGATGGCGGGAAGCTGATGCCTGACGGGTGAGCATGTGTCCCTCTTGTGTGTCTAGTCTTGTACTCCTGCACGCCCGAAGATTATGAAAATGTTGTGACTTCCTGTGATCATCATCAAATTAGACTACAATTCCATGAGGGCAAACCTGTTTCCAACCTCCTCTCTCGAGTTGCTTTGTTCCCTTCCAATGACTTTCGGCTGCAGGTACTGATGAAGCACTCCATTGGTCTCAACCATTACAAGATTTCCATGAAAATGATGCAGGTGCTACATTGTTGCTTCTTTTCATGTTGGGATGTTCCCTAGGGCGCCAAAAGCGCAGGATAGCTCATGATTGCAAATTTGTGGGGTCTTCTGAGAACTTATGTTGCTGATTCACAAGTTCTGAAGCTATTTGTTCATCAATCTCAAATCTTTGCTCTTTTGAAATAGTCTGACTGGTTTTTAGATGCTGGGACTAGAAACAGGTCTTACAGCTCTCCGACTCTTCTGAAGCAAGCATGTTCGGATGTTCCAGAGGATATTCCTGAGGACGAATCATAACATGCTCGATGGTTCTTTTCTGTAATGTATGTTGTATTTTATTATTCTTTTGTTGTTGATAATATCACACTTCAATTCATAAAGATCTCAACTCGTTTAGTTGAACAGAACACCAGAATCATATAGGAACAACCTGTCTGTTGCAATATTTTTCACAACCCAGCATTGGCTTGAAACGCCAGTCGAATCCTGGAGTCGATATCGGTTTTCAACATCATCAACCCTGTCGCAAGTTGTCAACCTCAACCCCGCCTCTACAACCTGATGCAAATGTTTCTCCTCACCATCGAGATTGAGCTCTCTTATAAGCCTGTACGGTATCAATCAAAGTATGTCCAAAGTTCGATGAGATGAATGTGCAAGAGGAGCGATCAAGAGAGGGTGGGGAAAAGAAAGGATGTTGAGGGAAAAAGGAGAGATCAAGGGGACGGAGGCAAAGAGGAGGGTTGCAGGGGAGGCAGGGGGAACTGAATGGGGAACCATGGAAATGACAGGCATCACAAACGAAGAATTAGCTCACAGCTGAACGGCGGAAAGAACATTCTTGCTGGTCTCTCCCGTCATGGCAGGAATGCGCCGAGGAGAATCTTGGAATGGCGAAGCAGGACGAGGCGATCGCTCTGTGTTCCCAGACCCCTCCTTCCTCTCGTTCCCTGCTGCCTCCATTCTCTTGGGCGAGACCTGTTGAGAAGGGTAGATGGGAGGCTTGACGAGCTTGCCCATCTGCTGCAGGTTCAAGGCAGGGATCATGGGAGATGCTGCAAAGGCAGATTCTGCCTCTTCCCGCTCCTCGTTAGTGATCTCGACCCCGTCCAACCTGTTCTGCCGAATCAGCCTCGTCTGATCTCAAGTCGCGTGTTCTCACTTGTACAGCCGAGGAATCATCGCAATGACCGTCTTCCTGTACTTGTCCGGCGCTGAGCCGACGCAGGGATTGTCAGAGAGCATGAGGCACTGGAGGTACTTGAGCCCTCGCAGATGCTGAATCTCCTCAATGTTCGCAATCTTGACGTCCCATATGTCAGAGCAAAACACTCCCCCTCTCGCCATCCCTCCTTCTCTTTCTCTACCCTCTTCCTTCCCTACCTCCACTTCCACTTATTGTCCTCGTCCTCGTCCTCGTCCTCGTCCTCGTCCTCGTACTCGTCCTCGTCCTCGTTGGCTTCCTCCTTCCCCTCCGCCTCCTCTTACTACCTCGTTGCGTCTCAGATACAGTTCTTGTAGCCTCGGGCAGCATGCGAACCATCGCAGCTCCTTGATCTTGTTGGCAGACAGCGACAAGACCTCCACACTTGGCATTTTCTTTTGCTCCCTCAGCCTCGTCAAGCAGCACACGCACTCGCACCTGTAGTATGCTCACGTCCTCCACATCGGACCCGAACACCTGCGTATCGTCAGCTGCGCTGCATGCCGGAGGCGCGCGATGGCAGGGTCACGTTGAGGTTGCGAACATGCTCGAGGTCCTTGCACTTGGTCTTGGACAGCACCAGCTCCTCGTTCAGCACCGCCATGCTCTTCCGCGCGCAGCAGGAGGGTAAGAGCGGTCAAACCAGAGTTTGCATTTTTTGTTTTTGGCGGGGGTAGGGATGGAGGGGGGAGGAGGGCGGTAGGGAATGGAGGGATTGAGAGGTGGCGAACAAGGAAGCAGGGGACGGGAGGAGAGGAGAGGAGAGGAGAGGAGAGGAGAGGGAGGGGGGGAGGAGAGGAGAGGAGGAAGAAGAGTGTAGAGAGGAGTGAACAAGTATCAGAGAATGTAGTTATGCCGTCTGAAGTGAGCGAGAGAAGCGCATGGCGGCGCAGCAGCTATGCAGAGGGGAGCGACGAGGACGAGGACGGGACCTCGTGGGCATGCAAAGAGCTGGAGGAACTCTGCTCGCAGCAGACGGTCGTGTACAAGGTCCAGGTGTTCACGGGAAGGCCTGTAGGGTCAGGCACGTCGTCAAAGGTGTTCGTCAATGTCAACGGCAAGTCGTGACTCTCTCCCTCCTCTCATGCTCATGCCGGATGTGGCAGGCACATTGGGGACTACAGGAGAGCGGCAACTTGATCAGAGCATGATGTCCAAGGCCATGGGGCTAGAGGAGCGACAGGTCTTCAGCCATGGCAGCAGAAACACCTTCACTCTCCATGCAAGGAACATCGGAAGGCCGACCAGCATGCTCGTTCGGTTTCTACCCCATGGCGAAGAGCCGAGTTGGTACCTGGAGAGGATCGTCTTGTGGAGAGCGAGGGCCTTCCAGGAGAAAGTCGCCTTCCCCGCCTACTCGTGGTTTGACGGAGACATTATGGAAACTTGGGACCAGCCGTTAGACGCTGCAGGAGGAGCGCTCCCGGGAGCATCGCGTCCTGATGGAGGTGATGGCAGAGGGATGCGCGGAGCGACGGCTCACCTTGTGAGGGAAGAAGGAGAAGAGTGGGATGTGGCATCCAGCAGGGAGCGAGCGATGGAGGAGGGAAGGAGGTCAGGTACCTGCCGTCCCCCCTCAGGTTACTGAGTGAGGAGCAGAGCGATTGAGCTGCTTCGCATCCTCGAGCGGAGGCAGGAAGAAGGCCGTCTGAACATTCTTGAGCTCAGGAGGTAAAGCTCTTGTTCCTGCTCTTGTTCCTGCTCTTGTTTGTTCCTGCTCTTGTTCCTGCTCTTGTTCCTGCTCGTTCTCTTTCTCTTGCTTGTTCTTCTCTCCATCTCCGTCTCCGTTCCTCTCCAGCTCTTCGCTGACTCCTTGCCCCTCCCTCCTGTGTCGCATCGGCAGGCTGGAGCAGCTTGCCAAGAGCGCGACGTGCGTGTCCTACCTCCGAGCCAAGGAGGAGCACCATTGGATGCCACCGAGCAAGGAGCTGCGGGGAGAGAGCAGGGCAGAGAGAAAGATCCTCCAGCTCCTGAAGCTGCAGAAGGTGAGGAGGAAGAATCGCCTGCGGCTGCTCGGTTAGCCTCCTTGCAGGACGTCTGTGGTTCTCCGCAGCTACGGCAGGAGGAGGAGGAGGAGGAGGGAGGGCGAACTGCCTTGAGGGATCCTTACTTGCCGCTACGAAGATCGCTCCAGCAAGGTGAGACGGCGGCAGCCGGGGGAAGCAGTAGGAGTAGGAAGGAAAGAAGTAGTTCGAGGAGGACTAGGAGGAGGGGAGGGGGGAGGGGAAGAGGGGAGAGTAGGAGTACGAGGAAGAGGTGGTGGAGGTAGCAGACGACCGAGAGAGTGAGGGCAAGGTCGGCGGAGGCAGGTGGGAGGCTCAATAACTCATTGCTGCAGAGATCCCAGGATTCGAGACGCTCGTGGTAGGTGGCGATGGTTGGCGGCCATACTCGGGGAAGGGAAGACGCTGGGGGCAGGTGAGGATGAAACAGTGTCTGCTGTTTGCTGCGAGTGATCAGAGAGAAGATTTACGGCAGAGGATACGCCTCCTCCCAAGTGCAGAACCTCAATACGAGCCAGGAAGGTTTGGAAGTTCTCCCGCCCCTCTCCCTCCTCTATATCGTCCCTCTTGTTCATCTTACAATTTCCTCGACTACCTCCCCGTCCCCGTCCTCGTCCTCGTCCTCGTCCTCGTCCTCGTCCTCCTTCTCCTTCTCGTCCTCGTCCTCGTCCTCGTCCTCCTTCTCCTTCTCGTCCTCGTCCTCGTCCTCCTCCCTTTCCTCCTTTCCATCATCCTCACTCCCTCGCAGACGATGAGATGGCCGGGGACCTGAGCTTCTCACCAGCAGCAAGGTATCGTCCAGCATGCCTTTTCCCGTGATCGAGTCCATAGGGCGAGTCTTTCTCTCAGCCCGATAATCCCTCCAGCCCAGCAACTGCTCAGCTCTCCACAAGCTGCTGTGCCATCTCAAGGTGCCACCTCCGTCCTCGTCCTCCCTCCTCACGCGCTCAACCCCCAGTATCCCCCATCTCCCGCGCGATCCGGAAGAAGCTGTGGGAGGTGAAGTGGGAGCGACCGGAACAGCAGGAGGAGGAGCTGCGGCAGATCTCGAGCTCAGTGTCGGAGGTGGAGACGGAGGTGAAGGCGCAGGCGCGGGCGATCGAAGAAGCGAGCAAGTGAGGAGGAAGAGGAGGAGGAAGAGCGGGGGGGGAGGGGATGGTGCTGAGTGGGGGAGCAGGGCTGTTGCCTTCCTTGAAAACACGCTGAAGCCTCGGCACCTGCGACTGTTCCACCAGAGTTACGAGGTGAATGCGAAGAAGGGACTGATGAGACGTTTTCAGGTGAGGAGGAGAGGGAAGGGAGAGCGGGGGAGAGAAGAGTGAAGGAAAGGAGAGAAGAGGAGGCAGGAGAGGAAAGTGGAGAGGGGGTTAAGGAGGAGAAGATAAAGATGAAGAAAGATGATGAGGGGAAAATGTGAAGGGAGAAGGAAAAGGGAGAGTGGGGGAAAGGTTAGGAGAGGAGAGGAGCGATAGATTGGGGAGAAGAGATGCGGAATGATATGACATCCATTGCAGATGGAGAAACAGGAGCCAAGGTTCTTGTAGGCGAGGTTCTAAGGGAAATGTTTATGAAAAGAAATCTAAAGATAAGAGAAAAGGACAACCCCCAAGAGGGAGGGGGGGAGGGGAAAGAAGATTTACAAGCTGGGGCAAGGGAATACAAGTAAGTCAAGGCAGAGAGAGCCGTTCGACGACCCGCCGACTGGGATCGAAACAATAACAAGACACTTGCAGTCATCACGGCTGGTCGTAGGCGTTCCAGGTCGCGTTGATCTGCCGCAAGTCTCCTCGGAACTTCTCCAGTCGCAGCTGGAAGTCTCTCATGCTTCCTTCTGCTTGCGACCTTATCCTCCTCCTCTCGTTCACCGACGAGTCCAGCAGCCTCTGTAGTCGCTCCAGCTCTGACCGCAGGAAGGCAGTCGCCACTTCCCCGAGCTCGTTCGCGTCTGCCTCCTTCGTCCTCAGCCCGTCGCTCTTCACACCAACTCCACGTGCTAGCTCGTTGATCCTTGTCTTAAGGGCCGCTAGCGTCTGCTGGATGCGGGTGATGCTGTCTGCTGCTCCTTGGTTGTTGTTCAGCTCCCGCTCCAGGCTCGCCATGCTTGCGTCCGTGCTCTGCTCCCTCTCCTTCGTGTCCTCCTTCAGCCCAGCCAGAGCTGACTTGGCATGCAAGTAGTTGCCCCACACGTCCTCCTCCAGTCGCTCCACCCTCCTCCTCTCCTCCTTCGCCTTGTCGATCCTCTTGCTCAGGTCCTGCTCCATGTCGTCGTCCCTGCCCTTCATGCGCTTCATCCTCTCCTGCAGCTGAGCCGTCTGGGACTCGAGCTGCCGCTGAAAGTTTGCGATGTCTCGCTCCAGATCCTTCGTCCTTTCCTCCATCCTCCTCTCCAACAGCTGCTGCTGGTACCTCCAGTCCACTGCAAACGTCCTCCTCAGCGCGGTGTATTTGGATGCCACCCGAGTTCTGATCTCAGCTCGCTCCCTCGTCCCCGTTGCGATCAGATCCCTGAAGTTCCCCTGCAGCATGTGGTCAATGACGCGAGTGTGGGGAGCCAAGGAGGTCAGAGCAGGAGGAGAGGAGAGGAGAGGAGAGGAGAGGAGAGGAGAGGAGAGGAGAGGAGAGGAGGGGATTGAGGAGAGGAGAGGAGAGGAGAGGAGGAGAGGAGAGGAGGAAGGGGAATGCAAAGGGAGAACGAAAGGAAACAAGGAGAGCAGTGAGAAGGAGACGAGAGGGCAATGGAGCAGATTTGGGGAATGAAGAAAAGAAAGGCGACAGCGGGAGTTGGAGGTAGAGAATCAGGTCGAGTTGTCTGACCTCCAGGTCATCCTGAGACTGATGGAAGAACGCCTTCAACTCTCTCATTCGCCCATCGGCAGAGGATGCAAAGTTGTCAATGAGGTTGAGAACGTGGCTCAGTCTGTTCCGGATGAGCTTGATGGTGTTGATGTGATACTCGTTGATCTGTATGCTTGTTATTCTCCTCCCTTCCCTCCTCCTTCCCCTCCCCTTTGCCCCTGCCCCTGCCCCTGCCCCTCTCCGCCCTCCGCTCTCATTCTGCTGCCCCTCCTCCTCCTGCTCCTGCTCCTGCTCCTCCTTTCCTCCCTCCTGCTCCTCCTCACCTGATTCATATCTCTGTCCTCGTCTCGGAGCGCTCTGCTCTGTTCATTCTTGATGCGCTGCAGGGAGGTATCGAGGGAGGAGAGCTGGGCCAGGAGGGAGGAAGTGCTCGACTGCTCTGCCTGCGAGTAGTAGGACAGGATCGTCGCGTTCATCGCGGTGATGGCTCGCTCGAGCTTCGCAACAACTTGAGAGATGGCAGTCGCCTGCTCCTGCTCCAGTCGCTGCTTGCGGCTGCGGACCCTCTCCTCGATCCTCTCGAGCTTCGCCCGCAGCGAAGAGAGCTGGAGGGAGGCGTTAGGAGTGAGAAGGAGACCGTGAAGGGGAGGAGATCACGTGGGAAGAGGAAAGAGACAAGGAAAGGCAAGGAGAAAGCAAAGGGAGAGGACCAGGACCGGGAGGAGGGGGGTGGGGGATGTGAAAGCGCCTTGTCACTCACCGATGTTCTCCCGTCGTCCCACCATTTCTTCACCTTCCCGTCCACAGAACCAAACTTCTGGTCCTGCACGCGCATGTCGTTGGCCTCCTTGGTGGCAGCGAGCTGGACGCGATTGCGGAGGCTCGAGAGCAGGGAGTGGGTGGATCTGTCAAGGGAGGAGAGGACTGAGTTCTGGCTGGCCACCAGCTGATTGATGTTCCCCTGCACCTCCCTGCTCTGCTGCTGGAGGATGGACTGAGCAGACCTGTCGAGCTGGTTGACACCCGTCACCAGCTTCGACCGGACGCTCCGGTCGTCGTTGTCGTGCTCTCGCTCCAGCACGGCGTCCTCGCTCTCCAGCTTTCCTTGCACCCGCACGATGTCTGCCCTGAGCGAGACGATCCGCTGCAGGATCCCCTGCTTGAGATCCTGCAGGGTGGAGGTGAAGTTGTTGCGCAGGCGCTGGAGGTCGTTGACGACAGTGCCCTTCTCCTCCTCCTCTGCATCGGAGAGCTGGCGTGAACCCTCCTGCACATCCAGCTTGAGGTGAGCAAGATTGTCGGAGAGGAGTTGGAGGGAGCTGGAAACATTCCTTTTGCTCTCCTTCACCAGCCTATCCACCTCCTCATAGCTGTCGAGGTTCTCCTGGTGGAGGTGGGAGAATACTGAGAGTTGGCTGGACATGTCGTTCTTGAAGTGCGAGATGTACACCTTCAGCTGATCCTGGAGGTTCAGCAGCTCCGCCATCCTCCTGCTCATCGACTGAGTGATCAGCCTCGAGATCTCCTCATCCTGCTTGCTCTGGTCAACGTCTCCCTCCCCCTTAAGACTGTTCGTCTTGTCCTGGATCTTCTCCTTGATCTCGTTCACCGTCTGCTCGTGCTTCGCGCGCAGCTGGGCGTATGCTGAGTCCATGGAGCGGTCCAGCTGCTCAAGCCTCAGCTCGGTGGAAGAGACCTCTCGATTGATGGGGAGGATGAGATCATAGATGGTGCTGTTCGCTGACTTCCACTTCTCTCCCTCCTGCGACACGTCGCTGTCGAGAGCTGCTTGCATAGCAGCGAGGTCCGAAGACAGGTCTGAGTGCAGGGTCGAGTCTTTCTCCTGCTCCTGCCCCCTCCCGCTCTTCTGCTCCTGCTCTCCCTCCTTCAGCTTATTGCGCAGCGCCGACACCATTGCCCGTAGCTTCCCGTCCATCTCCTCCTCCTTGGTGACTACTCCTGGCCCCACTGTCCCCTCCTCCTCTGCCGACCACTCGGACATGTCGTTTCTCAACAGAAGTGCCTGCAATTAATCAGGTCAGGCAAGGAGGAGCAAATAGAAGGGAAGGGAAGGGAAGGGAAGGGAAGGGAAGGGAAGGGAAGGGAAGGGAAGGGAAGGGAGGGGAGGGGAGGGGAGGGGAAGGGAGGCTAGGAGAGGGTAGCGGAGAGAAGCGAGGAAAGACAAGAAAGGATCAAGTGCAAAGGGGGCGAGGAGGAGAGGAGAGCGCCATTCGCACCTCGTGCACGAGGCTTTGTTCCTGGGCAGCCTCACGGCTCTCGAGGATACTCAACTCGCTCTCGTGCTGCTCAAGGAAGGACTGATGATCCGCCTGGATCTGAGCGAGCAGCCTCTTTGTAGTCGAGTACAGCTCCTCTTGATCCTCCTCCTCCTTATGCACCTTCGCCCTCAGCTTCGCCCCGTTCGCCCCCAGCTGCCAGCCGAGCTGCTCAACCTTCATCATGGCTTGTCGCACAGACTGCGCCAGCAACTCCATCTCCGTCTGGTTGTAGAGGTCCAACGAGGACGAGAGCCGCTGCTTCAGTGACGAGACGTCTCGCTCGTAGCCTCTGGTCAGCTCCTGCTCATCCTCAACGATCTTGTGTCCCATAGCCTCCTGCTCGTCCGCAAGCTGCTTCTCCTTCACGTGCGTCGACTCGTTGAATCCCTCCATGTTGTTGCTGTTCGCATCTTTCCACGTGTCAAAATTGGACTGGAAACCTTTCACTTTCGCCTCCTCTGCATCGTGCCAGTCTAGCTGCTCACCCTGCACCATCATCATCAGCATCGTTAGCTGACATGCGGGTCAAGGTCGCTTACCTGCAGCTTCCCGTTGAAGGAAGTTGAGTTGGCAAGCAACGAGGTCTCGAGGGCCTCGAGCCTGTCAATCACCTCCAAGGCAGCTTGCTTCTTGGAGAGAATGCTATGGCTCTTCTGACGGTCGAGCTCATTGACTTCGCTCTTGATCTCTTCCTCCACAGAATTGAGACTTTGAGAGAGCTGAGCTCGCAGAGCGTCAATCGCGTTGTTCCGGGCGGTCTGAAGGGCAGCAAGGTATAATGAGAGGTTTCCTTGTACTGCATTGTGAATGTTTTCTTCCTCCGTCAGCCGGCTGTCCCACTCCGACCTTTTCCGTGCTTGCAAGTCAACGTCGCTCTGGAGACGGGAGTTTGCCTTCTGAGACGAGGCACGGAAGCTCGAAAGCTGCGACTGCAGCGTCTGATTCAGATTTTCGTCTTGATAGGCTAAGTTGCTTTCAAGAGAGTTAAGCGCAAACTTCTCTGCAGTGAAAGAGCCCAGCACTTCGCCATGTGCGGACGAGGCCTCGTGATGAGCCAGGCGGACTATCTTGTCCTCGAAGGCGGCAAGGTCCTTGATCAGGGACTCGTTCAGGTTTGTCACGTTCTTTCGGTGGGAGGAATCCAAGAAATCCTGCTCGCGGTGCAAAGTGGTCACAAGACTGGAGATCTTGGTCGTAAGCTCGGACAGAAATCCAGCAAGCTTAGTCGATCCCTCTGACACTGTGCGAGTGAGCGAGTTCAGTTCAGTTCCCTGCTGTGTGTTGTTTGCTTCAAACTTAGCCTTCCATGCCTGCATCCGACTCGATGACTCTTGCTTTTGTTGATTGTCAAAGGCTTCCACAGATGTACGAGCCTCTCCTAGCTTCGCAGCAACGTTGTTCACAGACTTGCTGTACACCCTGTCCAGGTTGCCTGCTTTCTGCATGTTGGTATCCTTCAACGTAGCCAATCGTTCTTCAAACGTGTCCTTCAGCTCACTGTAGTCCTCGTTGCGCTTCTGTTCGATCTCAGAGATTGCACTGTTGATGTCCGACGTGATCTTCGAAACTTCAGGCGTCGTCCTCTCCTCGTTGAGGTGGACCTGAACCACAGTGAGCTGTACATCAACAAGCTGACGCTGTTTCTTGCCTGACTCGTCGATGTTTGCTGGAGGTTGTCGAGCGACTGGATCACGGAGGTGATGAGGCTCAAGACATCAGCTCGCTGCTTGCTCTCAGCCGTTCGCAGCGCATCTGCTGATGCAGAAAAGACCTGCCGACACCGGGTCAAGGGTGAGAGATGTGAGAAGAATCTAGGAGGGATTCGAACAGCGTGCGTGCGTGCGTGCGTGCGTGCGTAACTTGGGGAGGGAGGGCGGGAGGAAGATGGCAAAGGAGGGTCTATACCTCTTGAAATCGAGTGGAATTCTCCTTTAGAGCTTCGATCTCCTGGTTGCTCGTGAGGTTGTAGGCAAGCAGATCTTGCTTTAGGTCGAGAATGTTCTTCCTTTGCTGTGTATTGTTCGCCGACTGGAGATGCAACATGAGTATGAATCGATGTTTGATCGTACAGACCTGGTACTCCTTGTGCGAGCTCAGCTTCTCCTGCAGATTTCTGACAAGATCTTTTGATTTATCGTCCAACTGGAGCACTCTATTTTGGCCGTTTGTTGAGAGATCTTGGATCTTGGATTCCATCCGGTCTTTATCCAGTTGTATCTGTGACGAAACATTCGCCTTGATCATAGACACCTGTTGACACCCATTCAGTGCAAGCTCACAAAGTACGTAAACGACATCACATGCTTCTCGAGGTTCGTCCGAGCTTCCTCGACGTTATCAGCCATCTTCGCTACCATCTTCTTGTGTATGTCATCCAAACTCTGATAGTCGCGCCCCTGCCGCTGTCTGAGCGTCTGAATCGCCGACTTGATAAAGGTTATCTCGCTGAGAATCCGAGCGTCTTCCCTCCGCTGCTCGTCGTGCACACCTGGAGGAGCGCTCAGACCTTGAGCACAGAGGAGAACCAAATCAAGTACACCCGCAAACAGAGCTTTCTACAACACATCAGAGATCTCTACAGAGATCTCTACAACACATCAAAGATCTCTACAGACATCTGTACAACGCATCAGTTTCTTACCCTCGATGAACCCCTTCACTTCATCGTTCTTCTTCATCTCCTCCTGGTGATCGCCGTCCGCCTCTTGGGTGAGGATCCGAGATTGCGCATCTATCATCTCCAGGAGGCGTTTCGTCAGAGCGATCTCTCTCCTGTTCAGCACGTCCAGCTTCTCCTTCAGCTGAGTTGTACCGTCATCTATGTAGCCGGATATTTTGGACTTGGTCCGCTGGAGGTCATCTTTCAACCTCTGCACTAGCTCGCTGTGACTAGTTCCCATCTCATCCTGGATTTGGTGTATCAATGTCAGGGCGCCTTCCATCCTCTTCTTAAACTTGTCCAGTCTTTGGTTTTGTGCTTTGTGCGCGGCTTCCCTCTGTCTGCTGTTCTTATACTGCCTTATCTCCATGTCTGCCAACGCTTTCTCTGTCTTCCACAGCCCATTCTTCAACTCGTCCTCTGTCCACAATGCAGGAGAACTTTGTCTCGTCTGTTTCTGCTCCAAACATTCATTCAAAAGGAACCCAGTGAACTTCGAGCATCGGCTGACATCTTCTGCTGCTTGTTCCAACAGATCATGTTCTACACCTGTACTGCCTCCCTGCAGATTCGCGGCAACGATAAGGATGAAGAACACGACAGGGCAAGCTATAAGAAGCCTTTGGATGTGATGGTTTCGTAACATCGTTCTGGGATTCACACCTTGCAACATCTCAGTAACTGTCATCGTCGTTCCATCCTCTCGCGCCCTGTACCAGTCGGCATTATGCACAATTCAGCGATGAAGCTATTTCTGGACTGGTCAGCGTGGGGATGCGGTCATAAACTCTTTGCCGGCACCGGGGTGACCGCCCGGGCCGGGCGCGCCGGGCGGCCCGGCGGCCCGGCCGGAACTCAGTTTCCCATTGAAGTGACCGTCCGACCGTCTCGCGGCGCAAGACGTCTCAGGTGATCCAACTTGCAAACGCATCCGGTCCAGGATCTTTCGTCAGCTCAAGCGCCCGGCGTATGGCTCTCAGTGACTAGGCTTTCGGCGAGTCACACCGTGGCACCGTGCCAGGCACTCAGTGTTCCGAGGCTGATTGTCCTCGTACAGCACTGATTTTTAATCGTTAACCGTTTGACAGTGCGGCCACGGTGATGAGTGCTCAGGCCGGGTCAGTGGCTTGAAGGGCTGCCAGCGCCGGGCCGGGCGGCTGCGAGCCCCCCCCCCCCCCCCCCCCCCCCCCGGGTTGAGTAAAGATTAGGCTGCCAAGGTAGCATTGGCATTTTTTTGAGTACCGTTTTTTAGTTGCGTCTCCCCGATGCGGTGGCAGCGGTCACGGCGGCGGCCTTGCGGTCACCCGAGCTCAGCGGCTCGGCTTTTCCCGGGACTCCTCACGCGGCCACTTATTATTGAACTCCGAGCCGGGAGTACCCTAGAATGTGATGAGCGACTTCGAGTACCCTAGTAGTGAGCGACTTTTTAACTACAAGGGCCAACGTACCTGAGATGCCGATTCAAATTGAGGTGTCGCTCAGTTAGGGGGTCGATCATGGAGTGATGACCTGTAGTAAAGTCGATGCATCAAGTTCCGTACCTCTACACACTACTTCGGGGAACTCTCATGCTCGGATTCACAGGCTGAGCAGTGAGGCCCGCCTAATGCTATGTCCCGGCTGACACAGTCGATGCTGTACCTCGGCGTTGACAAGTTCGGATGGCAACGAAAAGCGAATGGAAAAAGAGATTGAAATCAAAGTATTCCTCGAATAACTTGATTGCAAATAATAGAGTAAGCTAAAAGAACCTCAAATAATCACACTGTCTCAAAAAAATGAATAGTCTAAGTCAAAACAAAGCAATGATATCTAATCACACTGTGTTAAATTGAGTAGTCTAAGTCCAAACAAAGCAATATCCAACCAGCTGAATAGTGCTTCACCACATACTCACGTCGCTCTCCTCCGTTGCTGAGATGTACCACGCTATCCACCTGGCGTCCAGCGGCCTCCTGTCCTCCTCCTGATCGCAATCTCCGTCCCACTCGTGCACCCACTCCCCTCCCTCCTCCCCTCCTGACGCATCCTCCGTGCTCGCGTCGCTGTTCCCCCCTGCCCATCCGCTTGACGCGCTCGAGCCCAGACCCGATGTGGTCGACTGCTGCCTGTCCCGGGAGTACGGCCAGCGGAGGACGCCGACTTTCCGGCATACCGACTTGAGCGCAGTGAGCGACAGGCCCTGATAGCAAGACAGCCGACGGTCAGCGCCTGAGCATGCAAGCAGGGCTTGATGAGATGGGGAGAGGCAAGGAGGTAAGCAAGGCAGGAAGAGCGAGGAGGAGCGGGGGAGGGAGATACCAGGAGCTTGGCGGCCTCGACTTGACGGAGGTGGAAGAGCTTCTGGATGTCTTCCTTGGAGAGGCTGACGCGCATACCGCGGACCTTGGGCTGTCCGCGCTTCTTCCTGGGGAGGACGACGGCGACCTTGTCGGGGATGAGGTCGGTAGGAGAGCATGGAGAGTCCGCAGGAGTCAAGGTGAACAACGGGGAAGTATCGCTATCGTCGATTTGCACTGGGTGCATTGGTAGATGCAGTGTGGCTGATCTGTAGCCGATGATCGGAGAGCCAGGCGATGTCAGAGGTGGAGCTGGTAGACTTGGACAAGATGGCTGGGGCTCGAGGGCGCTTGCTTCTGTGGAGTGATCGCGGAGGCGCAGTTGGGGGAGGTGAAGGCATTGTGAAAACCTTTTCTAGTGGGTGGTTCCTTCTTGGTGTCGTAAAGTCCTCATGACAGACTACGAATCGTTGAGAGTTTCTGCTCGGTCGTTTCCGGTACCGCCGTGTAGTAAGATTCTCATTGTCTAGCTTGCAGGCAGGGTTATTTTGGGAGCGGGAGTGGACGCCCGGCCGGGCCACGGGCGGTTCAACCGGGCCGCCGCCGCCATGCAGCCTGGCCCGGCTAACGCGGGCACTCAGTAAAATACCATGCCACTGGCCGCATGGGCTGGTTCTGGACTTCACGATGACACTGCCGACACACAGTCGGACTTTCTGCAGTGCGCTCTCCGCGCGGCCCCGCCCACGATCGGGCGGCGCACTGCGCGGCAAGTTATGGCACCCATCACCCGCCGAAGGCCTTTACGAGGTCAGTTTGACCGCCGCACAACCATCCTCCGAAGTTCCTCACCATCTCCCTCACGAACGCGCTTAAAGTTCCCTTCACTGCAGGTACGGATCATGACCGATCCGATCGGTGGTTTCTCTGGTACGGTACCTGGCGGATCACGGCCATGGAGCTACGCTGACAGCGGCTGAGTGGGCCGCCGGGCTCGGATGGACTCTCATGCGCTTAGGACTCCGGGAGGCGGTGTATGGGGACCCTCAGGCTGGCTTTCATCGTTTGCGTGCTCGCCTGTTTCGGCAGTATCGCTCTCGTATGGGTCTTGCAGTCCTCCTCCGGCGCAGGGGCCTTTGATCAGCCTTGCGCTACTGCTCTTTGTCCTGATCCTTGTTCCCCTGCTTGTCGTTCATGCATGCCGTCGCTTGCGTGGTTGGAGTAGCGGATTTCGCTGCCTCCTTCGTTTCCTAGTATTTTATTGAGGCGGGTTTGTAGGCCGCTTTATCCTCCCCCTCCTTTGTTTGCTCCGGTTTGCCCTTCTTTTTCAGTCAATAAAGAAAATATGACCGCAGCATGCAGCCGATTATTCAACGGCGTTACTGGAAGCTAGCCTACCGTGATGGGCGGGCCGCCGCACGGCTTTGCGGTACATTGGCGAGTTGGGTAAGCTAGAACCGCGGCCCGCGGCTTAAACTTAGTTCCGACTGAGTTGAATGATGGGCCCGTCCACAACTTCAACAAACTTGAAAAGGAAGCCTGATGAGTACTACTCATAAAAGGCAACCTCGATACAGCAGGATTCAGTGCTAGAAGATAGTTTTCCAATTCCAAGTGTTTACTCACTGAGTCATGTAACAATCTTTCAAAACTTGGCCAAACATGAATAACCGTTCGGCAAATGCTAATTTGCCAGGCAGTGCTTTTGCAAGTCAAGCAGAAAGCACTCTACAAATACATGAATATCGTCGTGGCTGAGCAATTCAAAACAAAGCAATATCCAGCCACCCGAGATAAGCTCCTTCCCGCACCCTCATTCACCACATACTCACGTCGCTCTCCTCCGTCGCTGAGATGTACCACGCTATCCACCTGGCGTCCAGCGGCCTCCTGTCCTCCTCCTGATCGCAATCTCCGTCCCACTCGTGCACCCACTCCCCTCCCTCCTCCCCTCCTGACGCATCCTCTGTGCTCGCGTCGCTGTTCCCCCCTGCCCATCCGCTTGACGCGCTCGAGCCCAGACCCGATGTGGTCGACTGCTGCCTGTCCCGGGAGTACGGCCAGCGGAGGACGCCGACTTTCCGGCATACCGACTTGAGCGCAGTGAGCGACAGGCCCTGATAGCAAGACAGCCGACGGTCAGCGCCTGAGCATGCAAGCAGGGCTTGATGAGATGGGGAGAGGCAAGGAGGTAAGCAAGGCAGGAAGAGCGAGGAGGAGCGAGGGAGGGAGATACCAGGAGCTTGGCAGCCTCGACTTGACGGAGGTGGAAGAGCTTCTGGATGTCTTCCTTGGAGAGGCTGACGCGCATACCGCGGACCTTGGGCTGTCCGCGCTTCTTCCTGGGGAGGACGACGGCGACCTTGTCGGGGATGAGGTCGGTAGGAGAGCATGGAGGTCTCGCAGATGGGGAGCTGCAGGATGAGCAAGTATCGCTATCGTCAATCTCTGTAGTGTGCATGGAAAAAGGGATGAAGGTGCTCTGTGTTGCTGGCATGCTTTGTTGCAGAAGTGGTTCAATTCCGAGGCTTTTATAGAGTGCAGGTGTGGGAGTAGCTTTATTTTCCGAAAAACTATTGTTAAATGAAACAATGCTTGTTTTTGAAGCCGTGTTGTAATTAACTGAGGTCCGACCTTCTCTTTTCCTCGAAAGGACTAATGTTGATAGAGGCATAGTCATCAATTTTCAGAATTTGTACTTTAACAAAATATTTGTACCGTACGGAATCCTCCGAAGCAAGAACCGAATGTGTGGAAATCTCTGTAGTAAAACATCAAACACGGAAAATTCCGATCGGAACTTTGAAGCCCGCTTTCAAGTTCCGCCAGTTGGAGGAAAGTTCCATCTGATCGGGAAATTCCGTTCTTGGTACTAGAGCGAGTCCGCCTCGTCTTGTTTTTTTACCTTGTGCAGCCGTTACCATCTTTTGCTCAAAGTGGTTAAAAACTTGAAAATGAGTCGCCCCGATCCGAGCCCGGACTGTCAGTGAGGGCCGCATCATGCCCGGCCATCGGAACTCAGAACTTTCGGAACTTGCTACCGTACAGGCTGCCGGTCGGCGACCACGCCGCGGGCCGGTCCGACACCCGGTTCCCGTTTGCCGCGGCCGCACACTGCGGCACGCCGAAGTCACAGTTACCGTACCGTACTGACGGAGCGGCCTCGGAGATTCGCCGCGCGCCGCCGGCCTCGGCCGGCCGATACGGGCTACCGTACGTGTGGATTTCATCATCGTGGCATTAGTAAGTTCAGAACAACTTTAAAAATCCTCAGGTTTCAACTCTGACTCGCCGGTTGGCGAAATCTGAAGCCTGAGTCTAAGTGAAAGTTCAACGGTTAGTGTTGCCCGGCAAGTTGTGTGACTCGGAACTTCCGGAACACCGGGCCACGCGGCCATCTCATATCAGAAGAAAAATCTTGTTAAAAGACAAGAGACATGTAGGAGAATTGCTATAGGACAAGAAAACTAGAATTCACAATTAGAATGGGCTCGATCGAAAGGTCTATGAAAAACCATCCCAGCGAGTTACACTGCTCTCGTCCGTCGCTGATATATACCAGGCTATCCACTTTGCGTCAAGAGCCCGCCGGCACTCTTCTAGCTCTTCCCAGGTGTCCTCCAAGTCACCAACCAACATGCTATTCGCACTCGCTTCCCAACTTTCCCTCCCCTCTGCCCGACGCGTGCTGCTCCCCTTCCATTCCTCATGTCTCCCCTCCTCTTCTCCTCCTCCTGACGCATCCTCCGTGCTCGCATCGCTGACCTCCTCCAGCTTCTCCCCTGCCCATCCGCTTGACGCGCTCGAGCCCAGACCCGATGTGGTCGACTGCTGCCTGTCCCGGGAGTACGGCCAGCGGAGGACGCCGACTTTCCGGCATACCGACTTGAGCGCAGTGAGCGACAGGCCCTGATAGCAAGACAGCCGACGGTCAGCGCCTGAGCATGCAAGCAGGGCTTGATGAGATGGGGGGAGGCAAGGAGGTAAGCAAGGCAGGAAGAGCGAGGAGGAGCGGGGGAGGGAGATACCAGGAGCTTGGCGGCCTCGACTTGACGGAGGTGGAAGAGCTTCTGGATGTCTTCCTTGGAGAGGCTGACGCGCATACCGCGGACCTTGGGCTGTCCGCGCTTCTTCCTGGGGAGGACGACGGCGACCTTGTCGGAGGTGGTTGAGCGCTCATCAATGCTGGTGTCGGTCATGCTTGGCCTCGCTCGTCGGGCAATCGGCTTGCGTGTCCTCGGATATTCATCAAGGGACTTTACAACCTGTCGTAGTAAACATACAAGTATGTGACATCGCCCCCTCAACAAATAGTTAGCAGAATCTGCAGTAGTAAACTACTCCAGTTCCGAGCAGAAACTGTTCTCAAGAGTTCTTGAGACTGGACTACTTGTTCCCTTAAAAAAAACACCGTGTGACAGTGCTGTACCTGGACGCATCCCGGACTCGGATTTCGGAGTTCGCCGGGAACTTTAATTAACCTGATGAATCTTCTTTACTCAACCTGATGAACTCCGAGCCGCCCAGCGCCTCTACGCGGCCCCGCGCAAGAATCCAACTTCGGAACCCTCCGAACCCCATGACGGTGACCGTCGGCAGTGTCCGCCGCCGATCGGAACTTGAAAGTCACGGTCCGCCGGAGTAAGTGAACTTGACATGGCAGCAGTGCCCGACTGCCCCCAAGGCCCGCCCACGGGCCGTTCAAGCGGCCACCGTGACTCAGTGGCCTTCAGGGCCGCCGCGGCAGTGTGCCGGGCCATCGGACCGCGGGCCGCGCCGCGGCGTGGCACTACTGCCGCCAGCTCAGTGAGGACTTCAATATGAGGCGGGCTCGTGTCTCACTCAATCAATGGCGAGAAAGTTCGACGTGGGCAGGGCGACTGAGGAGGAGCTGCGGGAGAGGGTGAGGACGCTGACGTCAGCTCTCATCAAACAGGTCAGAGTAACGAATCAAGGAGGCAGATGGGAAAGAGCAGTAGGAAGAAGATGGGAGGAGGGAGATGCGGGGTAAGAAAGAGAATGGAGGGGAGAATGGAGGAGGTTTGCCATGGCAAGCAGTGCGGGAGGGAGGCAAAAGGTAAAGAGAGGAGGAAGAGAAATGACGAAGGTGAAGAATGGTTGAAAATCAAACTGACTCGAAACATCGATGTTCAGAAGGAGCAGATCGAAAGGATACGCACATCCGAGCATGCGCTGGCAGGTGAAAAGGAGAAGTTGGAGCGGCAGGTGAGAAGGTTGCTTCTCGGGATCGACCGGCTGAAATGCATGCAGGTCATCAACTTCAAAGAAGAAGCCGAGATGTCTAGACAGATGCGATCGGAATTACAGGGAGAGGTGTGGGAAAGAAAACTGATTGTTAGAAGCTTTCTCAGGTGGACTTGTTTTGTACAGGTTGCAAGGATGCAGAGAGCTCTGGAGCTCCGAGCAGCTGAAGCTGTGAGATGACGTGGATATTGTTCGTTTGTTTGTGTTTTTGATGTTTCTCTCAAGGAAATGATCAAGACTGAGGCACAGAAATACATATTTGGAAGCGACTCGAGCCAGAATTCAGATGAGGAGCTGAAAACGGCAAGAGAAGAAGTTTCTCGGCTGAAACGAGAGGAAACATTGTGAAGATTGTTCTAAATCCTGCTGATGACCTGCTCTCAACAGCTGGAGGATGCAAAGACTCAGCTGTTCTTGAGCAGCGGAGGGTTTGATCCAGCACACTCACCCGATGGGCAGCAGGATCACGAGGTTCGTGTCAGTTTCTCCATCCTACAGCCCTCATATTATGAGCGCAGACAGATGAAGGTCTCCTTCCTGCTAAGGTTGAAGCTCTTGGACTTGCTGTTGCAATGGTGAAGCGTCTTGCCCAGGAAGGGGAGGCTTCAGCGGTGGACCAACCGGAGGGCAGCAATTCGGACGTTACAGGGAGCGAAGATGGCGAGAATGCGGTTATGCGATGGAAGACGAGATGTTTGCGGTTGGAGCGATTGTATCAAGATACAAGAGATCGGCTGGAAAAGGTCGAAGAGGAGGAGGAGGAGGAGGAGGAGGAGGAGGAGGAGGAGGAGGAGGAGGAGGAGGAGGAGGAGGAGGAGGAGGAGGACGAATTGATTGGTGAAGTGAAACCCCTCCCAGGCATCGGCAGAAAGGCAGAAGTTAGAGGAGGAGCGAGCTCTGGTAGACTCGCGATACGACAAGTTGCATGTTACATACCAACAGGTGAGCTGGTTTGTGCGAGTATGGTGAGCCCTGAGGTGATATGTGGGGAGATGGAAGTTGAGATTAATTTGAGAGGGTTTCTGTTGATGATATTCGAAGGCAAACAAGTACATCCAAGAGCTTGAAGATGCCCGTCGAAACAAGGTGTAACTTTCTTGCTTCCAAAAGACGAGCTGATGGCAATCTCAAGGACAAGGAATTTGAGGGTCTGAGAGAGCAGCTTGAGAAGTATTCTGCTGCCAATGGCATCAACACTGCGAAAAAGAACGAAGAAGTGATGACGTTGCAAGCCAAGATAAATTCACTCCAAGATGAGATCGCATCTTTGAATGTAAGCACATCACTGACACGTTTCTTGTAAACACGCTCCAAGACTGATAAGTTGGACAGGTGGACCTAAAGAAATCACAGCAGACAGAAAATTTTCTCAAAGTCTTGCCTTGACCTGCCTTGCCTCACATTCCTGACTGTGAACTGCAGTCGGAGAAAAGCAAGCTGGAAAGTACAATTCAATCTATCACAAACACTCTGCAAGCATGCAAGCGGGTCTTGCTTGTTATGGTGAAGCACAATCCTCCTCACATTCCAATCAGGATCGTGAGAATGACCAGAGGAAGTTTCAAGAGAAGGAAAATCTGGTCGACCCCAGTCCATGTATTGTTGGCCTGACAAGGTTATAACTGCAACGTCAGTCCCGCAAGGAAATTGAAAGTTTGAAGAACTCGTTGGAGTCAACCGCCGGCAAGCTCAACGCCCTTCAGGCGAGCGAGTCATTTGACAACCTCCCAACGGTTCACACAGCAAGACAGGAAGAGCACGACAAGCAGTTGGCAATGGACAAGGAGATTGTGAAGGGACTACAAAACGACGCAAGAGTGAAGCTTGCAGGTTTGCTTCTTCTTTCGCAAGTTTGCCGAGATGTGAAATCAGCTACCAGAAGTCGAAAATGCTCTGCAGAGCTCGAAGCTGACAGTCATGGTGGGATAGCATGCCTCGACTGTTGAAAACAAGTCTTGACATGCTGAGCAGGAGCAACAAAACAAGATCAAGGAGCTAACTAATCAACTTCATTCTAAAAGTCAGCCCTCCTCTTGCTCACTCTCAACGCAAGGTCCTGACGATGTTCGTCATGGAAGATGAGGAGATGATTGAGATCAGACTTTCAAACCACCACATTGAGAACGGGTCTGACAGCCCTCTGCGTCCTTGACGACTCTTGACGACTCTCTTCCGTGCAGCAAGGAGACGTCGGACGACGGGCTGAAGGAATTCATCCACAGAGAACGTGAGAGAAGCACGGGAGCCATGTTCGAGCTTACCTGTTTGTCAGTGGAGCAGGAGGAGCTGGTCCAGCAGGTGTCCTTGTTGGGCACATGCGAGGAGAATTAAACGGAGACAGGCGCTTGCTTCCATCGAGGAGCTTTTGGAGACTCTTGGCTCCGATAACACTGCGTAAGCACCGCCCCCCCCTCCCCCCCTGCTCCTGCTCCTGCCCCTGCTACTGCTCCTGCTCCTGCTCCTGCTACTGCTCCTGCTCCTGCTCCTGCTCCTGCTCCTGCTCCTGCTCCTGCTCCAGCTCCAGCTCTTTCTGCTCCATCCTTCCCCTTCTTCGTTCTAGTTGTTGCCTCCTCATCGTCTTTTCCCTTATCCTTCCTCGCATTTTCTCCCTCCTGAAGGATTTCTGTGGCAGGTCTCGTTCTATCGACATAGAGCTGTCTTCGCTAGAGGAGCAGCTTCACGACTCGCTTCGCCACTCCACTCCTCTAGAGCGAAGGGCTCGTCTTCCCTCCTACTCTCTCCTCTCACTCACTCTCATGGGAGCAGGTGAAGGCACTGACAGGGCTTGTGAAGATTGCTTGCAGCAATTTACAGGTCTTCACTCCCTCGCTCCTACCCTCCCTGCCCTAGTTCCATTGCTGCTCTCTTTCCCCTTCTGCCCCTCCTCTGCTTCCTCTCTCCTTCTCCCTTACGCGCCGGCAGAGCCATTCCTTCCTTGAACGAAAACATTCCGTCGATTTTTCCAGCGCTCCGAGCTCATGGCGATTCCTGCGTGACTGCGGTGATCTCCTACTTCCTCCTCCTTCAGTCACAAGGGCTGCAGATGTCCTCCTCGCCGTTCGGAGCCTGTGTGGGAGATTGAGGAGAGGGGAAGGGAACGGATACTCTCCTGTCCTGAACCCTCTGTGACACAAAAGACTCTAGGGGAAGCGGAGGAGAGTGTGTACATAGGTTGTAAATATCGCTACAATCATTCTTTACTAGATTGGATAAAACCCTTTCTTGCTCTGTACAACAACCCACGACAAAGCCTCACGGAGGTTTCAGGAGGAAACACTTACTCAGTGAGAGTGGTAGGGGTGATCTGCACCATCAACCATTAATGCACACCCAAGAGCAGGAGAGCTGGCGGTACCTGGTCAGCCGCGCCATAGTCATCGGGCTGGTTGAAGGTCCAGGAGTCTACAGACACGTCAGTTGCTTCTCAGCGTGTGAGGTTGACATGTTTGTTACATTGAGGAAGCTCATCAACGTTGGCGATGTACTGGGTGCCGAAGGAGCCATCGTCAAAAGGGTTGTCCCACACCCCCCTGTCGATGCCGGTGTCGTGAGCGAACGCTGTCGGTGATCTCGTCAGTGACAGGCGACAATGGAGGCTGTGAGGTGAGTAGTGTAGATGTGAACAAGTGATTATCATCAATGGAGGCTGTGAGGTGAGTAGTGTAGATGTGAACAAGTGATTATCATCAATGGAGGCTGTGAGGTGAGTAGTGTAGATGTGAACAAGTGCTGATCATCTGTAGGACTGACTGGGTACGATTTTGGTCGCTGCAACTACACATGGGCAGACGTGATAGATCGGTTGCACAAAAATGATGAGCAGCAATGGTAGAGTGAATGCAGGAGCTGAGAGTGAGAAGAAAGCCGATGGAATGGTTCTGCGTAAGAGCAGGAAACAATTGTAGGAAGAAGAACAAAAGCAGCAAAGTGAGATTGGGGTGGACAAGGCATCATCATGATAGAAGGTGAAGGTATACGGGAGGTGTCATTGGAGGAAGGAAGTAGGGAGAATGAAGAGACGAAGCAAGTTGCGGCAAACTGAGAAAGGTTCTCAGATTGTTCTGACGTTGTGATTGTGAAGCAGAAGACGCAAAGCAGGAGGCACGATGCAGGATGAACCATGCCGAGAGAAAGATGATAGAGGAGCATGAAAGGCGGAGAGAGGTCAGAGAGGAGCATGTCCGCGAAGAAGGAGCCATCAAGAGAGGATCGAGGTTCACCGAGGTTCTGGAAGCGAGCGACGAGGAAGAGCTTGTTGAGCATGACGCGAAAGGGCACTTGAGGAGCCAAGGGCTGATAACCCCTCCATATCGCTACCCCTACCCCCTCATTTCAATCCAAATTGGGTGTTCAGCCATTGTAAAAGGTGCTACCCCACATACAGAGTGTGCTTTGGAAAAGAGATTCGTGTAATTTTCAAATTAACTCGAGCAATATGAAATGAATGACCTACAAAAAAGTCAAGATCTATCACCCGTTCTTCTTACTGTCATGATGGGGGTGGGAGTACCAAGACGGGTGGGAAGCGGTTGAAATGTCTGCGGGAGCCGGTGAAGAACAAAACATCTCCTCC